TGTTTGCTGGCGGTCACAAACTGGATGCGTTTTATTCGCTCTACTTTGACTAGAAATAACAGAGGATGCATAGAGATGCATTGGTATTTTTTTCTGTAGAGATTGACGATCTCGCCTGTACTAATTGTATTCGTATACGCTGTCACACTGTATAGTTACAGTATGTAATATATATTATCTGTGGTTACAGCAAGGATTACCTAACATAGGAATCCATAGGCTATAAATGGAAACCATCTTTTCTATTGAAATTTTGATATTTATAAATCTTAATGGCTATTTCACCGTTTTATGGATGTAACCGGGTTTCCTAGATAATAATATTAAATAAGATATTTTGACTCATGAAATTCCATCCATCCAGTGATTTGGGCCCGATTCTGTTAAGTATATATTCGTTGTATTCAGCTATGGCAGACTTATATTTATTTATATATATTGAAACTTTAAAATAAATACAATATATAAATGTGCATATGGCGAACTTAACTCCAAAGGGCGTAGTCTACCAGACAACCGTAAGTTAACAAACACACCTACACACTCGTGAGTGTTAGTGCCTATATTGCTTTCATTTGACCTAAGTACGAACAGATACAACCACAATTCTTTTATTCTCAGTCAATACACCAAGGTGTATTCTGTCCTTAGGAGAACACAAACTAAATTATATATTATTTACATAAGTTATCGTATAGTATATACATATATCTACCAATTTTTGCTTTGTAGAAGACTAAAATTACAGCACATAGCAATGAAGTCTCCATACATTCCTTGTTCGTTTTCCCGCCAACTGCGTGCAACCTGCACCAACGATAGTCTATTTTTATTTTGGGTTCAACACTCGGCCCATGTACAGATTATATTTATTATCGAGCTTACATTACTAACTCTTATCTGTGGCGTCGCTCGTCCCTTTGTCTCCTGTTCTTGTAGGGTTTGCTGTTATTTTCAGCCGCAGTTTGCTTACTGAAACTGAGGTGTACCCCTCAGTTTTACCTCTTTCCGTCGCCATGCAGTTTTGTAAGCGAATTATGGTAGTGAAATTACAGGTTAAGAATGCATGGCCTTTTAATCCTTCAGAATGACAACGCATGAGTTCACGGATGTGACATAACGTGATGAAAGAAAGAAATAAATTCATTGTCAACTAATAACAGGAAAAGAGGATTATTAGTAATGTGGATTAATTACTCTATTGCTAGCGACTTACCATCTCAGGATAACGTCCTCGCAGTTCCCTTGAAATCATCGTGATAAATTTTCCAGGAAAATTTATCACGATGCGCTAATTGACCAAGTCTTGTCCATCTTATTATACTCTACTGGTGCGGGGGGAAAGGGGATTTTTAATAATGTACGGTAACGGAAACCATTTACCATCAGATGGTCCGTATGCTTGATTGCCACCATCGTAGTATATAAAAAAAAGTGGACTAATGACCCCATTGCTAGCAATATACCATGTCAGGTTGACCTCCCACTGTTCCCACTGGAAACTATACTGATAAATTGCTGGTGAATTTTATTTATTTATTTACGTCATACTAAGCGAGCTTTATACTTTCGCATTTAGGAAAATTGTATACATATACACACACATATGCACACTAATTGAAAAAGGAAAAAAAACAATCTTAATTTTACATACTACATAAATTATCTACTGCCATCCTACTAAACACCAGCAAATTACAAGTCAATATCTAGATCTGGAAATCGATTAACTACCTTTGAATAGACTCAATGCCAGAGAAATAGGTCTGTTTGACTAGCTCTATCGAGCTGGAGCCTGTTTCGCCAACTGTCCTGATCCTATGTTTGTTATCATTCTCCACTGGTGCCCCATTAGCGTAGGCCATTAACGCAGGTGGGTGCACCATTTCATTATACACCCATCTACGATATAAACAATTATATTCATGAATACAAATATTTGCAACATGCGCGGTTTCGGATCCACGACCAACAGAAGTACAGCGGAGTGCTAAACCAAGAGGTCCGCGGAAGTACCGAGTCACTTGTCACACATGAACAATCACCTGTTATACTCTGGCACAATGTCACACTATATCGACCCACCTCTTTAAAGAGTGACGTACTTCAGAATTGGGCAAATATTTTCGACGAAGAAACGACGAATTCTTGCCAGCCGTGTTTTTTTTATTTCCAATGCTGTTGGCCGCAGCCAGCCTTTAATAGCTTCACCGGACGATAGGGAGCGAATGCAGATGGCACTACAAACCAAAGGAAGGACTTATGTATAGAGCTACTGAAGGGTAACTTCTGCCTGATGGATACGACATTAGTCTAAGGGTAAGCTAGCGATTCAAACCTCGACTCAGGTCGTCGGGGGCAACATGTAAGAAATGCGTGGAGGTCTGGTGCCACTAGTCAACATCATTACCAAATCGCTCCCCCCAAATGTGTATAATAATAATAACCCAGGACTATTCACACAGAGCCAACTAATCCCAAGCTAAGTAGAGTTGGATACGACTTCAGTCAAGACAGTGAATGTACCAGGATAACATGAAGTTACAGGCAGTGAGGCGATGTTTATATAGGCGACGGTTGATACTCGGCTCAGGCAGTTAGTTTTGAGCCCAGTTTGAATTGGACGGGGGATTTGATGGACCCGTGTCGATAGATACGACTTTAGTCTGAAGGCACCTTAGGGACATAGGGTTAAGGCACATAGACTTTCGAACTTCGGCTCAAGACGTCGAATTTCGATCTCCATTTGAATTGGACGGTGGTCCAGTGTTGCCGCCATTAATTATAGCATCTTATAATAGGTGTAGAATAGAAATTGTGCGTCAAATCCATTATCTGGCCGCCAGCCATGATCTTAATTAGAGCATGGGTCATAGACATAGATAGAATATAACGACGTAAGTCTCTCTACCTGTACGGGATTATCAATATACTTGCTTTGTTCAACGACGCTGCTTGCTTAGAAATAGAAATCTTTATTCCAATAAACTTTTTAATAGTCATTCACTGCTCGATCACATCGGTGCCAACTCTAACGACATTTTGAGCTATCTTATCAGGCCGTTGGGACTCTCCGCTACTTGGCACTTATATTATTACTTACTCTTATGGCGATTAAAGTATGTCCTACTTGTTTCTAGTAATAGTATGTTGGTAAATGGTACCTATATATACAGGTGGATTCGGGCTCTGATGACAGGCCGGTTATTTTATTGTTCCTCGTAACTAGGCAACTGTGTTGCTGCGTGAACGTAGTTAATTCCCCACATATATAATGAGATAAGTGCCGAGTTTCTTGTCATTTTTTTTTGTTTTATTTATCCGTAACGGAAAGGCAAAGAGTCTAAGCCCATACAGCCGTTGTCTTTGGTATAATTTCTATATTTTAATTTCTTTTTTCCTTCTTCAGATATCTTCTACTGTGGAGACAATATATTCATAGATTGGTTTGTATGTTTCTTGATTTTTAAGTAAAGTCTGAATAGTGCGCAGGATATTCAGATCCTTGTAAATGGACATTCTTCTGACAATAAACTTTAGATCTAGATCAGGGATGTTAGCGAGCTCCGTAACCGTAACGGAAACTATCGGATATCCGATATAAAAAAATATCCGTAACCGTAACCGAATCCGAAATAAAAGTTTCGGATAATATCCGGAGCCAAGAGCCTAATTTTGACACGTTATGTAACCATTTTATTAGCTATTTGTATTTTACTTTTGAAATTACTTAAAAATTAATATCCGTAACCGAAATTATCCGAAACTAACGGATAATCCGAAATAATTTCCGTACTTATCCGAAACTTATCCGTATCCGAAATTTTATATCCATAACATCCCTGCTCTAGATATAGATTTTGATGTATGTATACCCTTACAATTATTCATACGGTTTCGGTTGTTTAACGGTTTAGCATCGCGCAATATTTACGATTGTCGTGAATTGATTCTTTTTCATCAGTACGTTTGGTGGGAAATTGAAGATTAAAAATGAAATTAGTCTATGATATGTTATTTTTTTATTTATATATTTATTTACTCAAAAATAACAAAGTACAGATAATATATTTCCTTATAATTATTGTTATATTGTAAACTGATTAGTCAATGCTTGTACAATATATATATTCTAGTATATAAACAGTATCCGGCCCTATTGTAAATGATGATAGTATGGCTGTATAAGTATATAAATATATTGTATAGGCAGCGCGCATGCGAAGCTGCGCGCGCAACTTAAAATGTCACTTTGTTGTCTCATATAAAACTTAAATTAGATAATCATTTGCTTTGTAATGTTATTTAAATATACATAAATATAATCCAGATTAAGCCCATTATAGTATTGAAAACGAATTGTTATACAAGAAAATAAAAGAAAGAGATAAAAAGTCTAAATGGGTCACTGTTTTACTCGAGGCCAAGAAATCAAACAACACCGAATTGGATAGTAAACAAAGATATATTCGGGTGTAAATCGAACTCGATAATTACAAAATTCCGTACAGAGGTCATAATCAAAGAAAACGAAACTATAGCGCGTTGTACATTTCACCTAGCGCCATCTAGTATAAATATTGAGAACTTTAATTGATATTGGTCGAACATTCCGCCCACTAAGAACCAGTGTTCTTAATGACCGCCCACCATGACATTTATACACAACTAATAAAGTAGGCAACCAATTATTTTTTTTTTTTTTTAAAATGAATATACATATCTAGAGAAATAGAACTAAACATCGTAATGAATACAACAAATATCTTCGCTAGATACTCCGTACATCAGCAAGAATCAAACACTAAATTATACTCTATTAACAATGTGACTAAAACAAATGATACAAACAAAAAACAAACAACGCATTAACAAATCCTTACTAAATGCCAAACAATTAAAAGAAAACAAACAAAGCACAATTACACAAATTAAACAATTACAGAAAATCAATTTTAAAATACACATTTAGACATGCAGACTTATAGCTATATAACAACTTATTGAACAACTGGCAAAATACAAAGTTTCGATACAGGTCTTTTTATACAATTTTCTTTACAGCGCAAGGTGACAACTCTAGTTATATTGTCTGGACCAGGGTGCTTTTTCTCAATTCGACCGAACAACCATCTACTTGGAGGAAGATCACCCTCTTTAATTAAAACAACTTGGCCTATTTGAGGTTCAGGAGTAACTTTCGTCCATTTATACCTGTTGCAAAGTGTTGTGAGATATTCTCTTGACCACTTACGCCAAAAATTTTGAGTAAGTTTCTGCATGAGTTGCCATCTACGCAACATGCTGCTATTATGGTTCATATAATTGTTTTCTGGAACTGTAACAAGCGGTTCCCCAATCAAGAAATGGCCTGGTGTGAGAGGCAAACTATCCTCCTGACTAGTGGGTAACCTGTACATAGGTCTAGAATTCAAGCATGCTTCCACTTGGGCCAACAATGTGGAAAGCTCCTCATAGGTTAAGGTGGTACCATCAAGCACACGTTTCAAGTGATACTTTGTTGATTTAACCCCTGCCTCCCAGATACCCCCGAAATTCGGAGCGCGGGGAGGTATAAAATGCCATTCGGTTCCTGTATTTGCTAAACATTGAGCAACTTCATCTAAAATACTCGACTTTTCAGCCTTAAATAAAACACGTAGCTCTTTTGATGCGCCCACAAAGTTCGTGCCGTTGTCGCTCCAAATCTCCTGACAGTGGCCTCGACGAGCCACGAATCTCTTGAAAGCTGCAATGAATCCTTCACTCGTCATATCACTTACCACTTCCAAGTGGATTGCGCGTGTCACCATACACACGAAAAGGCATACATAGCCCTTGAAACATCGACATCCGCGACCCTTGGATATTCTAACGTTGATAGGACCGCAGTAGTCAACTCCACTTCGGCTAAATGGACGGCTCGCTGTAACACGTGAGCTTGGTAAATCACCCATGAAGGGTTGTTGGCACGAGGTACTATATCGAATACATGTAATACACTTCTTAATATATTGTCTAATTATACTCCTCACGTTGATAATCCAGTACCTGGTACTGATATAATTATGCATTAATTGTGGTCCGCCATGCAGCGTTTTCTCGTGAGCATCTGCTACAATTAACTTAGAGATATGATGATCACGCGGCAAGATTATAGGGTGTTTCGCATCATAATCTTCTTGACTATGCTCTATACGTCCACGTACTCTCATTATATGTTTATCATCTAGGAATGGACACAAAGACAATATTTTACTACCTTTTGGGATGGATCGACACTTCATCAACTGTTCAATTTCAATGGGAAAGGATGAGCTTTGGCAGTGTTTCAGGCAAATGTTCAGACTATAATTTAATTCAGCAGCTGTAAGATAGGAAGGTAACAATTTTCTATGTTTCAGTTTATTAACGATCCTCAAACAAAAAGCAATTACTCTTATCAACTTATTGAGTGATGAATATTTAGTCCAGACAGGTAGTTCATCATTACTTCGATCTGAGACAGCAAGGTAAGATTTAATGGCTTTTTTCTCCAAATCAGTAGACAAATTCTCAATTAGAGGAAACTCGTAATAGGATTCATGTAACATCTGCGGTCCATGCCACCATAATCCATGCTCGATCAATTCCCCTGGCCTCAATCCTCGAGACGCACAGTCAGCAGGATTTTGATTAGACTCAATATGTGACCATTGACTGCTGTCTAAAACCTCTAATATTTCAGTTACGCGGTTGGCGACAAACGTCTTCCAACGGTTTGGTTCGCCTTTCAACCAGGCTAAAACTATGGTTGAATCAGTCCAAGCACGTAATTGAACCTTGGATACATTCATGACCGATGACACTTCCGATAACAATTTTGCCAAAAGTACCGCGCCACAAAGCTCTAAACGAGGTATGGAGATCTGCTTAATGGGAGCAACCTTAGTCCTCGCTCCTATCAAGTTAACATGAACTTCTCCAAACTTGTCTTTAATACGAGAATAAACGACTGCACCATATGCATCGTTGGAGGCATCACAATATCCGTGGATTTCTATGTCAGTGGTATCATATGTTGCGTGCATCCACCGAGGTAATTTGACTTGATTAAGTTTTGGCAATTCTTCTCGAAATGAAATCCATTTATCTAGCAGATCAGATGGCACTTCCTCATCCCAGCCAAGTCCTGCAAGCCAAAGCTTTTGAATGTATATCTTCGCTTGAATAATAACCGGTGCAATCCAACCCAGTGGATCAAAAAGGCGAGATATATCGGATAAAATGACTCTCTTTGTAATTGGCTGCATTTGTGGATGTAATTTAATAACGTACTCAAATTCATCAGATGAGACATTCCATGACACTCCCAAAATTTTGACCAAATCATCTGTCTTAATCACCAAGTTTCTGTCTGCTTTGTTGTCTTCTTGAATTTCTTGCATAAGTTTCTGACTATTACTTGCCCATTTCTGCAATTTAAATCCACCTCTGTCTAATAATTCGACCATTTGATTGTATATATCAACTGCTTCCTCTTCCGTCTGACAACCTGACATAAGGTCATCCATATAAAAATCTTGCAGTACTCTATCAGCTGCCAAAGGGAAGTGCTTGCCTTCATCCTTGGCGACTTGTTGAAGTGACTTTACTGCAAGATAAGGCGCAGAAGAAACTCCAAAAGTTACTCTCAGGATACGGTATTCCCTGAAGGGCTCGTTTGAATTGTGTCTCCACAGAATTCGCTGATATCTGGTGTCTTCGTCATGTACCTTAACCTGCCGGTACATCTTGATGATATCTGCCACAAAGCAAATTGGATAAGTACGCCACTTCATCAATAGATGTCTCAACTCTCCCTGCAATCGTGGACCGGTAAGTAGGTCATCATTCAATGATTTACCATTATTCCCTTTACACGAAGCATCAAACACCAGACGAACCGCTGTGGTTGATTTATCTAACCGAACAACAACTAACAACGGTAAGTAAACGGCATCTGCTCTAACCTTTTCTCTTTCTTCAGTTATAAGTTCCATGTGATTCATATCTATATATTCTTCTATTACTCTTGAACATTCCTTTCTTAGAATTGGATCCTTTTCTAACTTTCTTTCCATAGTCAGTAATCTCTTTTTAGCTATTTCTTTAAAATCCCCTTGTTCGCAATCAGGATTATTCTTGCGAAACGGAAGTCGCACAACATAACGACCTGATTCATCCCTGGTTGTAGTCTTTTCATAATACTCTTCACAAGCTTTATCTTCTTCTGACATGAAATTCTGCTCTTTACCAGACTCTAACTCCCAGAACTTACGCAATATCTCATCAGAATTATCCAGCGAATGCATGCTAACTATGCTGGAATGGTGACAATGATGGTTTACTTCTACTCTACCGGATAATATCCACCCCAGCTGTGTATCTTGAGCAGTGACACTGCCCTTTCTAATAATATTATTCGTTAGGATCATTCCATAAACATCCGCCCCTAGCAACAAGTCTATCTTACTAGGTGTACCATAACCGGGATCAGCCAGAGTTAAACCTGATAATTCTGGCCAATCTTGAATATTAAGTTTTTGAGCTGGTAAACTGGATGACAAAGCGTTCAAAACATAGGCCTGAATTTCATAACTAAACGAGGTATAAATGGACTGTATCTTAAAAATGACCATATGTTTGATGGATAAGTTAAACTGATCTCCACCCAAGCCAGATACTATTCCTTTGAAAGGAATTTTACGAAGCCCTAATAATTGAACAACACGCTCCGTAACGAATGAGGCTTGAGAACCCTGATCCAGTAATGCTCGCAGTGTATAACAATCTCTATTAGTGTCCACGTGTACTAAAGCCGTAGCCAACATTACTTGACCAGGTGATGATATTGAGCCATTAGCAAAATGTGTTGAAATTCGACTTGATTCTTGAACCTCCTCTCTCTGCACATTTTCTTGCTCTCTGTGCTCGGATTCATTCGTTTGATTTAGTTCCATATTAGACGATGAACTCGAATTTCCCTCAGGGTGCAGTAAAGAGTGATGTCGCCGTCCGCAACGCCTACAAGTGGTACGTCTCTTACATCGGCTCACTGGATGATTACTTCCAAAACAGTTGAAGCATAATTTATTTTTCTGAATAAATTCATGACGACTTTCATAACTCTCATTACAAAACTTTTCACATTGGAATAATAGATGACTTTCTTTACAAAAGGAACAGGAGATTGCGGTGACACTAAAAACTTTTGGTCTCTCTACTTTATCATCATTTCTCTCGTTATTATGAAGACATTCCATAGCCAAAAACCTGCATTCTAGGAATTTATTGAATTCCTCTAACGTTGGTAATATGTCTGAGTGGTCACTGATCCTGTGCTCCCACTGCACTCTAGTACTATTATCTAGTTTTAATGACACAAGATGTATAATGATAATGTCCCAAGAAGATGTATTCACTCCTATATTAGATAATGCACTCAGGCAATCATTTGTTGTGTCCAGTAACTGCTTGATTCCATTTGCAGACTCTGTCATCAACTTTCTTTGACCGACCAGTCTCGTGAGAATTGAATTAGCAATATAGCGCCTATTATTATATCTCTTTTTTAGCTTATTCCAACACTGTGTATAATTAGCGTCTGTGATTGGGATATGACGTAATATCTGTTCAGCTTCTCCACTGAGGTGTGCCTTTAAGTAGTGCAACTTCTGAACTTCTGCTAAAGATGTATTACTGTCGATCATAGAAACAAATAAATCATGGAAAGACTGCCATTCCAAATATTTTCCTGAGAAAATTGGTAAAGAAATTCGTGGTAAATGAGCAATACTACTTCCAGAAGGCGAGTTTGAAGATTGATCTTTACTGTTCTCCTCTTTTTCCTTTGGTTCATCTTTTTTTAATAATGCCATAGAATCTTGGAGTGCACATTTAAATTCAACATATAATTCTTCAACTTCATCAAATAGACTTAGTTTAAAATAACTTATATCTTTGTCTGTATCTACGGCTTCTTTTAAAATATTCCGATGATTTTCTTCAAACTCCCGCCAATTATTATTTAAAATATTTAATCTCTCTGCAAAATATCCATATGAACTACGACTTTTTGACTTTTTATAATTGCTATAATTTTTATTTATTTTATCTTGAATACTTTTCTGAATTTTCATTAAACCTTCCATTTTTGTTTTAGTAAAATTGCCAATTGAAAGTTGAAAGTCAATTAATAACCGTTTGCACTGAGTCTTAAACGATACACTGGGTGAGTGAGCATAAAAAAATCCAAATGTCTATTCACAATGTCGCACTGATTACTAAAGTTCAAGTTATTAGAGTTAGTCCAATAATCACTGAATGTTACAATATTTAAAATCACAAAATTTCTCTAAGTTTTTTATTAGAACCCGAAAATTTTACAAGTGTTTTTTGCATTTATTTCGCTGTTTTCGGGCATAGGTTCCCCGTCTCACACAATTTTGGCGAAATATTCTAAGTCCAGTTCACTAATTATTTTTCTAAGTCCCTAAGCTACTCCTAACCAATAATAACTTGATTGTACTTACAGTTCGTCCCAGCTACTTACGACACTAAATCACTAGCTCACTCACCACCGAACTTCACTTCACTAAAGTACCACTAGAGGTCGCCACTGTCCGGGTCGAAGGCCAATGTTTTACTCGAGGCCAAGAAATCAAACAACACCGAATTGGATAGTAAACAAAGATATATTCGGGTGTAAATCGAACTCGATAATTACAAAATTCCGTACAGAGGTCATAATCAAAGAAAACGAAACTATAGCGCGTTGTACATTTCACCTAGCGCCATCTAGTATAAATATTGAGAACTTTAATTGATATTGGTCGAACAGTCACAATATATGTGATTTAGTCATGGAACGTTATCGATTATCCAACGCAATCACTAGGGTAGTCTATCGACTTAATTTTTAATTTTTAGCTGAATATTTTTTATGTAACTGGAATAGAATCAAATGGCCGACCTCAAGGTAAGTAGAACGCGTCGCTTTATAGTACACGAAACGTCATCGAACATCAAGTCATAATATGACGTCCAAGGTACCAGGCAAGCATAAATAGCACAAAAGTAAGTAGCACAACTATTGTGTTGTTTAGCTTGCCTGGTACCTCGAACGTCATATGATGACTTCATTTTCGATGATATAGACGTTCATGTATATAGGCAAAATTACTACTTACCATCAGGTGTACCGTCATTTTGTATGCCATTCGAATTACATTAAAAAAAAGTTGTGTCACAATTCAAAAAAAATAAAAATAAAATTTTCATTGAATCACAAACCTTTTTTTAAATGTTATTAGAATGGCAAACAATAATTTTTCAGAGACAATTAAAACTTGTTTATCACATTATGTATATTTATGGATTTTATATAACATTTGATATAATTATTAAAATATGTAAATTTTAAAGACAAGCATAATAAAATTAATAAAGATTTATATAAAAACAATATCACAGTCAAGCGAAAGAAACTAATTGTAGAAAATAGTTATGATAGTTTCTTTAATAATATTTTCTTAAATAGCATAGAAATGTATTTATTACCAACCAGTCGTCTTTTGAAATTAGGCCTTACATAAAACAATCGATAGTTTTGTTAGATTAAAAACAAAGTAGGAACTTAGATATTATTATAATAAATACTTAAATATTACATTTTTCTAATTATATTTAAACAAAACCATAGACAAGCGAAGTTGTGTGGTCGACATTTTAGTATCTACGTCAAATTCAAATTGTCTACTGCGCATTTCGCGCCGAAAATTACGCACACTCAATAATAAACTGTAGTAAGTAACAAATTAAATTTTCGATAATCGACTTTAAAGCTTAGATTTTGAAGTCGATTTTCCAAAGTTTGTTAATTTTGTGTTAAAGCAATTTATAATTTAGCGCGACTTTTCAAAAAGTCAAACAAATACTGTTTTTTTTTTTTTTTTTCCCATATTCGTCCATCTCCTTTTCAGACAAATACTATGTATAGAACTTGCATTACAACCATATTGAAATTTTCGACTTTAAAGCATAGACATTATAGTCGATTTTCTAAAGTTTGTTGATTTTGTGTTAAAGCAGTTTATTATTTAGCGTGACTTCTCAAAAAGTCAAAACTATCACTTTTATTATGTATAAAACTTGCATTGCATATTAATTTTACTTTGTATATTCTAATTATATAAATGTGTGTGTGATTATGAAATTTGGTACTTACAAACTACAACAATTTATTGGACATTTTATTTCAGTGTGGTGCAGACGTGAGCTCTAATTATTTTTAAAATTAACTACTTTAAACAATAGTGAATTATTTTGAAAATCTGGTATTGTCTATTATTTTAGATAATCAAACGGCATTTCGCATGTACATGCCGAGATATCCTACCTCAATATTACTTATTTCAGGCCGAGGTATATTACCTCAGTATTATTACAGTTACTAAGCGCAGCTTGCTTTGTAAGATATGTAAGGTAAGGCGCTGTAAGTACAGGATAAGAGGCATGACGTCTTAGTACTCTGGAATGGCAACACATGAGTGGTATCACGGGTATCACATGATCCACTGAACTAAAATTAACACTAAATAAAGTTATTAAAAAATTAAAATTAAAACAAATCCTCAAACATAGAGGTTAGTTTAAAGACTTCCGTAGTGCTTTTCATGTATATAGGCGATGGTTACCACTTACCATCAAGTGGATCGTTAGCAAAAACACTGTATACGCTGGTGAGGTACCAGGCAAACATGATAGGACGAGAGTCAAAACAGATCAGTTAGCATATCCAGTGCTTTATAATGTATTAAAAATAATAAGCCATATAAAACGAATAATAATATTGTTGATCATATATATAAATGCACATAATTTATTTATATTATTTCGTATTTAGGCGACAGTTACCACTCGCCATCAAGTGGAACGTTAGTTCGGTATACGCTGGTGAGGTACCAGGCAAACATGATAGGACGAGAGTCAAATCAGTTCAGTTAGCATATCCAGTGCATTATAATGTATTCAAAATAATAAGCCATATAAAACAAATGATAATATTGTTAATCATATGTCTAAATGCACATAATTTATTTATATTATTTCGTATTTAGGCGACAGTTACCACTCGCCATCAAGTGGAACGTTAGTTCGGTATACACTGGTGAGGTACCAGGCAAACATGATAGGACGAGAGTCAAATCAGTTCAGTTAGCATATCCTGTGCTTTATAATGTATTCAAAATAATAAGACATATAAAACAAATGATAATATTGTTAATCATGTATATAAATGCACATAATTTATTTATATTATTTCGTATTTAGGCGACAGTTACCACTCGCCATCAAGTGGAACGTTAGTTCGGTATACACTGGTGAGGTACCAGGCAAACATGATAGGACGAGAGTCAAATCAGTTCAGTTAGCCCATCGATCCATTATAATGTATTCAAATTAATAAGTCACATAAAACGAATAATAATATTGTTAATTATGTATATAAATGTATATAATTGTGTGAGACCACAAATATTCAGTGCGCGAACCTGACCAAGCGTTACGACACTTACCATCTTCTCTTATAATATTGATGAAATTCCGACCGTTATTGAATCTATACTATACTACTATACTGCGACACGTGTTTCGACTCTGTACGAGGCATCATAAAGCAATGAATAGAGTTCGGATATAGTTTAGATGGCAACATAATGGTGGTCAGTTTTCAGCATTGAATATTTGCGCTCTCACACATGCTAATGGTAGCGGAATTAAATAATATAAATCCAATTAAATAATGAAATGGACTTCCGCGAAATAACACATAATTCGATAAAATATGCATAAATATGTGATGTAAACATATCTTTAGATTTATGTTTTCTTGTTACAAACACACGTAACACCTTACAAAAAAATATATTGACTTTTATGTGGATACGCATATGGAATCGTGCATACTCTTAAACTATATGTATAAGCTGGAGGATGATAATATGAAGATTAACTTAGGTAGGTTACACAATCGTGATGAATTCACCAAGATTTAACCAAGATGGTTGCCAGAATGGATCTATTCATAAAAGCGCCAAAAGCTGGCAACACAGGATAATCTCGCCTCATCCTTACATTTGTACAATACTCAGTATATTTGTTAGCTATTGACAGATGTCACGTGATACAAAATGGCGGCTAACAGAGACAAAGATGGCGTCGCGGTGGGCGCGGCGTTGCACGCGTCCGCGTCATTACAGCTCTGCAGGCAGCCGTGGACGTATCTGGTAAAATAATTAAAAACTTTTAAATACCTCTTTAAGGGGTCAAAAATATATACATAGACATTTCACACAACGCCATCTATTCCCAAGCTGAGCAAAGCTTGTGTTAGGGGTACTAGATAGACGACCGCGGGGACGGTCCCACCCCACCGCACTAGGCCCGAAGAAATCGCATGAGACAATGGGCCCAGGTGAGGCCCGTCCCGGCAATTAAGCATCAAGTTGGTCGCCCGCTTTTGCTGTGACTCTACCTGCTGTAGAGACACGTGCGAAACGGGCGCAGCTGTGTGGGCGGCAGTGTCCGGGGTTCAAGTCTGCCGTCCAACAGGAACCGAGATGAGGGGGAAGCGCACCCGTATTCCGGTGCATCTTCCCCACGATAGGCGGATCTCCGTGTGGGGAAGAGTTCTCCCCACGCGTTGAGGAGGGCCCGCTTGCGGGCAACCGCCGCTGGGGTCGCGGTCGATTGCCCTAGAGTTTATGGTGAGTACTGGTGAGTACAGTACCCATCTGTCCTGAGGAGGACGGGTTACCATGAGGGATTTTCCCCACGTTAAAAAAAAGGAAGGTGCCATGACACACACTTCTTTAATTACCTGTCATTATAATAGAAGCGACCACAATGCGACATCCTAATGATCTCTGTGTCAGTAGTGACTGTACCAGAGTCCAGACCACATCCTCGGACGGTAATTCTCTCACCAGTATCATCTAAAACATAAATAGATAAAAAAATATATTTTATTTATAGAACATCTATGGAATAGTGGACCAGCCTGCGCTAACTGTATACGCTGGCTGGGTACCAGAGGATAGTAATAACCCTGGACAATTCACACAGCGCCATCTAGTCACAAATTAAAGAGAGACAGAAATACATTTTTGTGTTAATACATAGATACTATATGTAGAAAATAGCCAGATCGATACAAACAAACATACTCGTGAATACAAAATTTGAATTATGCACGCAATCGAACCTGAGACCATCGAAAGTAAAACAGTATGCTCTACTGCTAGACCACCCTGTCAATTTCCTTCCTATTTTTCATATGCTATGCTTTAACAATAAAGGTTATCAGATTAACGTAGTGTTAGGGTTCACATCAATGTTGTAGGAAAATCCGATATTTTAAAAAGATATTAGTTGAAGGAAGTTTGTATTTAGTACAAATATTGTAAATAGCGCCATCTAGTATTTATAGATCGAACTAAGTTATTTGTCATACGATAACTTTTACCCCCGCTTCTCTCCCTACTACACGGATTTCGGTCTAAAATACGGAGGTCGATCGATCCCCCCTCCAATTCAAACAGGGATCGATATTACGACGGCCTGAGCGGAGGTTCGAACCCCTAGTGGTGCCCTCAGACTAAAGTCGTATCCGTCAGGCGGGAGTTGGCCTTCAGCCGCTCCATAAGTCCTTCCGCGGGTTTGGAGTGCCATCTGCACTCGCCCCCTAACGTCCGGTGAAGCTGTAAAGGCCAGCTGCGGCCAACAGCATTAGAGTAGTCCAAAAAAAAATTGAATAATCCTCTTTCGTTTGGTGAGCCGCGGCATTCAGTCGACGAGCGCAGGGCATGCCGGGTGTGATTTGGATATTAAAGTGAATTGTATTAGAAATGGGTTTATCCCGGTCTTAGTTGGGCCTGGGGGGAGCTGCTAGTAGTGAAGGTGAGTGTTAATGCATTCTAAAAGGGCCTTTTAAACCTACACCCGTGTCACAAGTCATGACTTGTGACACGGGTGACCATCATGATGACTTACGCTTTGAAGCCGGCTACCGGAAGAGAAACCCCAAGTAGCTCCCGTGACTTGTGACACGGGTGTAGGTTTAAAAGGCCCTTTTAGAATGCATTAACACTCACCTCATCATCATAATGAATGCTTCTTAGTCTTCTTACAGTAGTAACAGCAAATGATCTTACCAAAAACACCGGCGATTTTTATACAAGAAGTAGCGGGGAACAGGCCGTCCCGACCTTTCCTCCCCCCCATGCAAGGAGACTCGAGCATCTGCAGCGAGTGGTTGTTATGGAACGGATCATCGCAGGCTGGAAACTTGCCATTCATGGACACGCATTTGAAGCAGTCGATGCTGTGTGCTGGAATAGAAAATGCACTCAATAGAATAGAACAAAAAATAATTTATTCAAATAAATTTACATTGATTTAGATAAAGAAATGTGATGACTATTCAAAAGTGTTGAAAAAATATTTTTGTGTTAAATAGTCCATTTGTCGAGGAAGGCTTTAAGCTATATTTCGACGACCTCGGTGGTATAGCGGTCTAGCACACCGCTTTGCATCCGATGGTCGCGGGTTCGATTCCTCGCACGGCACAAACTTTTGTATTCATGAGTATGATTGTTTGTATCGGTCTGGGTGTTTTCTATGAATAATATGTATGTATTTACGAAAAATATATATATATATATATATTTGTATCGGTTGTCTAGTACCCATAACACAAGCTTCAGCCAGCTTAACTTGGGTCTAGATGGCGCTGTGTGAATTGTCCTGAGGTTATATTATTTTATATATTATATTATATAACATTACGCTACGACCAATAGCGGGCGGAGCATCAGTATCAAAAGATAAGTGTTTTATTAAAAACATTATCGCGATTATCTTTTGATTTGGGTTTGATTCTCGTGGTCATCAAACCACTCGGAGTCGCGGGCACAGCTAGTATTAAATTAGCGGTTTTGCAGTGTATCTAGTCCCCTCCGATCGATCCCCCGTCCAATTCAAACGGGGATCGAAATTACGACGGCGTGGTGTAGTGGTGCAGTAGTAGTGGTGACCTCAGTCAAGTCATATCCGTCAGGCAGGAGTTGGCCTTCAGCCGCTCCATAAGTCCTTCCACGGGTTTGGAGTGCCATCTGCACTCGCCCCATAACGTCCGGTGAAGCTGTAAAGGCCAGCTACGGCCAACAGCATTAGAGTAGTCCGAAAAAAAAAAAGTGTATCTAGTACGTTTGCTGAATCGAGTGTAGATGGTTTTAATGATATTATTCTCTGAAGATTGAGCAGTGTAGCACTGCGCGCTTCACTGCTCAGTCGCATCCGCGCTCAACACGCTGAGCGTGTTATCAGACCGTTGGGACTCCGCTGCTTCTGCGCTGAATATCTCTTCATATGAAGAAATAAACATTTTAGATCGTTTTTCAATTCCTTTTATGGTGAAACTAGCTACTCGGGCTCGCTTCGCACGGGTGTACAATTGTACATGTATTATATATATATAAACCTTCCTCTTGAATCACTCTATCTATTGAAAATTGCGCTTCAAAATCCGTTGCGTAGTTTTAAAGACTTAAGCATATATAGGGACAGACAGCGACTTGTTTTATACTATGTGATGATGATGAATTTTCAAATTTTTTTAGATATATTTTTGCTTTTATATAATATATAACCGCGTAATCCTTTTTATGGTGAAATACTGGATTTTCAATTTGTATTAAACAGTTAAAACAAAATTAAATATATATTGTAATAGGTGAAAACTATGATTGTTACAGCCTATGCTCTACATACTATCAATGACGTAGTGGAGTAACTTGAAACAGCCGTGGCCGCTATAAAGATAATGAATTAAGTTAATGATGTGAATGATGTTAATGAAAGGGAATGACGTGAACGAATGAAGTGAATGATGTGAAGTGAGTGAAGTGAATGAAATGAATGAAACGAATGAAACGAATGAAACGAATGAAACGAATGAAACGAATGAAGCGAATGAAGCGAATGAAGCGAATGAAGCGAATGAAGCGAATGAAGCGAATGAAGCGAATGAAGCGAATGAAGCGAATGAAGCGAATGAAGCGAATGAGGCGAATGAGGCGAATGAGGCGAATGAGGCGAATGAGGCGAATGAGGCGAATGAGGCGAATGAGGCGAATGAGGCGAATGAGGCGAATGAGGCGAATGAGGCGAATGAGGCGAATGAGGCGAATGAGGTGATTGAGGTGATTGAGGTGAATTTCTGGTACTAGATAACTGATACATATACATAGATATTTTTTTTTGTAAATACATACAATATTATACATAGAAAACACCCAGACCGATACAAACAATCATACTCATGAATACAAATGTTTGTGCCGTGCGAAGAATCGAACCCGCGACCATCGGTCGCAAAGCGGTGTGCTTGACCGCTAGACCACCGAGGTCGTCATATATAGAGAATTCATTATATAGAGAGCATAGATACATCAAATGTAGGTTTTTTTCATATTAATATAGATATTGTATATATATATATATATATATATATATATATATATATATATAGGTAAAATATATAGGTTTGAAATACGTACCAATACCAATCCAGGATAGAAATACTAGTATGACGATATGCACTGTATTTTGTCTACTGCATACCTTATCCATTATTACTTGCTACTCTGAAACAAAAAGATAAGGGAGCTGATATTATTGTTTATGGTTTGTCTATCAATTTTTTTTTTAATTTCATTACAATATGAACTTATAGAATATGCATTAGGGCTGTCTACTCCCATTTAAATTCTATAAAAATATTTAATAAAACAATTGATCGAAATTTTATGGTAGAAATTTGACCATAATCAATTTAAATATAATGTAATTAGACCATTTATTATGGTAGTTCTTCTTTTCGTCTATGACAATCGGTCGTTATTTTTATGACCATTTATGCCAAGGTATCAGAGGAACCATTTATTATGGTTATGATGATGATGGTGTTGGCAATCAGTAAGACTATAGGCAAATAACATCAAAGACAAGCCATATTACTCTATTCTCAATCCCCTCCGATCGATCCCCCGTCCAATTCAAACGGGGATCGAAATTACGACGGCCAGAGCCGAGGTTCGAACCCCTAGTGGTGCCCTCAGACTAAAGTCGTATCCGTCAGGCAGGAGTTGGCCTCCAGCCGCTCCATAAGTCCTTCCGCGGGTTTGGAGTGACATCTGCACTCGCCCCTTAACGTCCGGTGAAGCTGTAAAGGCCAGCTACGGCCAACAGCATTAATAGTCTGAAAAAAAAATCTATTCTCAATTTGACCACAGACTAGAAATAAACAAAAGAGTATATATGCGTGCGTATATCGAATACATGGTAGTAAAATAGAATTGAATAGAATAGAATAGAAAATTATTAATTCAAATAAACTTAATTTAAGCACTTTTGAATAGTCATAACAATTTCTTTTATCTACCGCTCGTTCGGAAAGCTGTCTCATCACAAGAAGAACGAGCGAACGAACAAGAACACAAGAAACTAGTGTGTGTAATGTTCTTTTATTGATTTTATGTACTCTTTATGTACCATTCTAAAAAAATATTAGTATACTGCACTCCTTCTGTGTATAAACTACTAGCTATACCGTACGCGTGCAATTTAACTTTATATTTCTAAAATAATTTCAGCTACCTGCCAATAAAAGTCCCGTCAAAATCGGTCCACCCATTTCAGAGATTAGTCGGAACAGACAGACAGACAAAATTTGTAAAAATGTTATTTTGGTTTATGTATCGTATATATATTCATATGCATATAGTAAATAACGGTTATTTAAATATTACAAACAGACACTCCAATTTTATTTATATGTATAGATTTATAGAACACGTATATGACACACGTTTTCATATATTTTTTTTATAAGAGAGAATAAACAAGGAGAATAGCCCTAGCAACCACTCGAGTCATAGACTTTATACTAGTGTTATTCAATCTTAACAATACCCATACCGGGTCCACGCAGAAGACGTCCGGAAGGCAGGAAAACAGAGACAATCTCTTACGTAATATAACAAAAGCCAATCGCAAAATAGTTTATATTAACAGTAAACACAGACGGTATCTTCGTATAGTATAATTTTCCAGAACTTTTCTATAACGCGTCTAAGTATAAATAATTATTTAATGTAGAAAAAGCGGATCACAATGTTCAATTCTTATGACATTTTTATCAAAATAAACAAGATGGAGGGCGTTCGTTTTTTTTTTCTTTTATTTAAAGGAATGTTTGTTGTATTAGCTGCCAGTTATAGATATAGCAAATAAATAATAATTATTATTATTTTATCTATGTATCCCGTATCGCAACTGGAATATTCAGCCAATAGGTGACTAATAGTCTATGTTGTCTATGTTGAACCAACATAGAGGTTCTATTATGTATGTTCTAGTATATGTGTATCTATTATGCAATATTGTATTTTACCTATAATTACAAATGAAAAAAAATATTTAGAAATATTAAAATTACTTTTAACATCATGTCGTGTCGATATCACTCAGTAAAGTATAATATAAGTATACTAGCTGTACCCGCGACTTCGTCCGCGTAAATAATGAAAAAATATTTAACTCAATTAACACAATATAAGTCAAATAAATAAGTTTCATCATTTTAGCTTAAAAAATGATAAAAAATAAAAATAAATATTTAATCAATAGGCTAAAAAATAAATTTCAAGCGTCTAGCTTTAAACATGACGATACATCTATATGACCTTGGATCTACCCTTTCAATCCTCTTGCAACCCTTTTTCACATTAAAAAGTAACCTATGTCCTTTCTCATGATCTAGTCTATCTATGTCTGTTTCAAATTTCAATTTAAATCGGTTCAATATTTTTAGCGTGTAAGCGAGACAAACAGACAGACAAAGTTACTTTCACATTTATAATATCAGTAGGGTATTTAATAAACTAACTCTAAAAAGACAAAGAAAAAAGTTTAATCGTTCTAGCTTCCACAACCACACAAACAGCAAATTTCCACAATAACTTTCATTCCCTATTTTATTTTACTACCCCCCCTCCCCCTAAGAGTAAAAATTTTACAAACATTGAATGTCTAAAAATGAGTCTCAAACTTCTAGTTTTAAAAAATGATGATTCTTCCATACAGCGTACCGTTGCAACCCCCTTACAATCCTTTTTTCACATTCAAAAGTACCCTATATTCTTTGTCCGGGTGTAAACTAACTGTGTTTAAATTTTTTAAATTTCATTTAAATTTTTGTTTTGTTTTGGAGCGTAAGACTGACAGAAAGACAAACAGACTTACTTTCACAGTTATAACATTAGTGGGGTATTTAAAAATCTACCCCAAAAGAACCAATGAAAATAGTTTCATCGTTCTAGTTTCAAAAATTACGAATTTACATAATAACTATCATCCCCTATTTTATTTTGCCCCCTTAAGGGTAATTTTTTTACAAACAATGAATGTCATATGTATTTATATTTAATCAACAGTCTCAACAATAAGTTTCAAGCTTCTAGCTTCAAAAATGTCGAATTTACATAAAAAATTGCATCCCCTATTTTATTTTACCCCCTTAAGGGTAATTTTTTACAAACATTGAATGTCATTTTTATTTATATTTAATCAACAGCCTCAAAAATAAGTTTCAAGCTTCTAGCTTCAAAAATGACGATTCTTCCATACAATCTTTCACCCCCTTTTAACCCCTTACAACCCTTTTTTCGCATTAAAAAGTAGCCTATGTCCGTTCTCAGGGTCTAGACTATCTGTATACCAAATTTCATTCAAATCGGTTGAGTAGTTTTGGCGTGAAAGCGAGACAGACAGACAGAGTTACTTTCGCATTTATAATATTAGTTTTTGTCGCAGCACAAAAATATATTTTTATCGTTTCCCTACAAATAGTAATTTTACAGTATTAATCTACAAACCAACATTTTGTTTCTTACAATCAGCTAAATAATTTAAATAGTTTCATAATATATGACACAATGAAAATGTCATTTATTTTATAAAAAATACAGTTAGTTTTTATTTTAGTGAAAAATAAGAAAATTCTATTTTGATACGACAACCATATATTTATTAATACCTATACTTTATTAACTTTGTGTTAATGCTTTTTAAATAAACACCCACACATTATTTCTGTATAACCTACAAAAATGGGTAAATAATTTAATTTCGTATAGTGCCACACCACAACATTCTTTAAAAAATGTAAATAATAAAATTTGAAGAAATTGTGATTGTTATTAAGTTTTTTTTTAATAAGTTCGTCAGAACAGAGAAACAACATTTGACATTTGACATTGACTTTAATTTTTGTAATTTATATTGTAAAACTTTAAGTTGGGCTAAACAGGACTTGTATCCAGAGCCGTAAAACAAATTAATAAAAAAAATGGCCAAATTTGTCTCGCAATCGGCCAATTTCAAGTTTAAAGAAAAAACACATACACACGATATACGATTTTATCATAAAAAAGTGTCAAAAAACAATATTTTCGCTAAACGTCAACGTCATGTTTCCGGCAAGATCTTTCGTTTTACATTATGTTATCTGTGGTTTTGTTCTCTGTGATGGATACCTTATTGGCGCATACGCACGCGATGTTTTGATTGGTTGTTAGCTAGTGAAATGAAAAGATGGCGAATGGCGCAAAACCACGCGAAGTGCTGATTGGTTGTTAGATAGTGAAATGAAAAGATGACGAATAAGTATTCAACCGCATAAAGATAACCTTGTATTTCCATTTTGAACCCCTTACAACCCTTTTTACGCATTAAAAAGTAGCCTATGTCCTTCCTCGGCGTCTAGACTATCTGCGTACTAAATTCCATTTAAATCGGTTCAGTAGTTTTGGCGTGAAAGCGAGACAGACAGACAGACAGACAGACAGAGTTACTTTCGCATTTATAATATTAGTAAGGAGTAAGGATGGAAGATAAATAAAAAATGGCCCAACCCTAGCCTATGTCACTCTGAAATTGTTTACCTTTCAAACAGTCAATGCTAATGGTCTACTCTTGTGACTCTACTAACAATTTGATATCGAGTAATATTAAATTGCGCCTTTTCGTACCGTTTATACTCTGAAAATATACACATATATTCAATGGTCAACGATTATTCATTCATTATCAATATTATTACTATTTTCTGTTGCTGTTTTTTTTTTTGGGTTTTATTTACTAGCAGTATGTACTGTGGTGTAAATGTATTATATACATTATATATATTATATACGCGACATAGTCCGCGTGGAATTTAACTTTATTTTTCTAAAATAAAAGTAGCCTAACTTACTCATTATTACATCAGCTACCTGCCAATAAAAGTCCCGTCAAAATCGGTCCAGCCATTTCAGAAATTTGCCGAAACAGACAGACAGACAAGAATTGTAAAAAATGTTATTTTGATGTATATACCGTATTTATACTCATATAAAAAGTAGTAAAAACGGTTATTTCAATATTACAAACAGATACTCCAAATTTATTTATATTTATAGATAAACCTTCCTCTTGAATCACTCTATCTACTGCTAAAACTGCATTAAAATCCGTTGCGTAGTTTAAAAGATATAAGCGAACAGATAGCGGAAGCAAACAAATTCTTTATTAACTTAAATATACTTAAAATTAAATTAAGTTTATTAGAATAAAGAATTTTCTATTCTATTCTAAAACGTTAATATCATCAACAAGTAACACGAACTGGTGATGGTTAATTTCGTAGTCCATAAAATTGTTTATTTAACATCGCGGTGTTTATAATATCCGCTCCAGTACGTATCTAACTCAATATAAATCATTCAACGTTATACTACTCTGTGTATATCATAAACAACCTATTATTTTTATTTTTTACAAGTTTTTACCTTCAAACTGTATGCTGGCCGTTAACCTGTGCTTCAAATTTAAGAAAAAAATATGGTAGATGTCCGATTAAAAAAAATAATGAAAAAGATGTCCGAACGTCAGCACATAAAAAAAGGAGTTATGGTATCAGTCCGTTTCAAAAAAAATAAGTAATTTATTTTTGCCGCCAAGTAGTTTGCTGTCGGTTAACCTATGCAAATTTAAGAAAAGTTACGGTAGATGTCCGTTAAAAAAAACGAATGAAAAAGATATCCGAACTATGCTGTAGTCTAACTGATCTTTTTATTCTTTTTTTTTCTAGTGAATCTGTAGACTTAATGATGTTCCGGATATTAGTATCCGTATCCGCGGATATCCGAGAGAAAAGAAAGACCCGTTAATTTACTCGCGGATCTTTTACAAATCTTTTACGTTTATCTTTTTATAAGATAATCTTTTACTTATACTGTACAGATACATATTTTTATATAATTACATAGTGATAACCTACGGCTATCTTTCACTATCGCACCGCTCGCCGTCAACAGGGAATTCATCCCCACACACTAAAACCTGTTTTCTCGGACAGTGTGGTTTCAGAGGATCTTCCTCCCGTACACATAGATATTGTGGAATGAACTACCTGCCGAGGTTTTCTTGAGAGACTACAGCATGGGGTTTTTCAAGAAGGGTGTATTAAGGTTTCTCAAGGGTCTGAAACACTACTGTTGTTTCAGGCGTCAATAGACTACGGTAAACATTTACCATCAGACGGGCCGTATGCTAGTAACCGCCGCTGTAGTATAAAAGATGCTAGAATAGGAAGAATAGAAAATCAATTATTCAAATAAACTTAATTTAAGCACTTTTGACTATCGAATGGAGAGAAGCGGCAGATGATACTATAAAATAAAAAAATGTATATCGAATGGATACATACATATGTGCATAACTGAACCAAATTAAATTGTTAACTAAAAAACTTTTTTTTTCCATTTTGTCATAAAAATCTTTACGGCTTTGACGCACGGCTGACACTAAAAACATAAATGGACATGTGTTAGTCGCGTAATGTGTATAACTAATAATAAATGGTCAAAGAAGGTCAGAACTTGGTTTATGTAGTGGATAATATTATATGTATTGTTTGTATGTCGGTTCTTTATGTGCAGAAAGCTATTACTCTATAATTATGTAAAATAAATCCATGCAAAAAAGAGTAAAATAAAATCGTAGTAAAAAAGTAGCAATATACTACGAAGTCCACAACAGTTAGGACGGTTTCTTTATCCTTACTTAATATTATAAATGCGAAAGTAATTCTGTCGCGCTTTCACGCCAAAACTGCTGAACTGATTTAAATGAAATTTGGTACACATATAGTCTAGACCCTGAGAAAGGTTATAGACTGCTTTTTAATACGAAAAAAGGGTTGTAAAGGGGTTGATAAGGGAGATGAAAAGTTGTATGGAAGTATCGTCATTTTTAACGCTAAAAGCTTGAACTATATATAGGTACTAGAATTTCTTTTTTAAACTGTTGAATATATATGATTTTTAAAGTTTCCAAATTTTAACCCTTAAGAAGATAAATAAAATAGGGGATGAAAGTTTATATGGAAATCCGTACTTTGATGAACTTTTTTCAATAGCATTTTTTATTATTTATAGATTAGTTATTATTTATTCTTTATTTGGTCAAATTCACTATTACACGCGGACGAAGTCGCAGGCACAACTAGTTATTTAATAGGGAATAAGTACGCACTACTACGCAACCAACGTTTTAAATATTCAAGTGTTCAAAGAAATATAAACATACTGCTATAAATACTTCAGCCCGGAACATATTTAAAAAGTTAACAGTAATAATCAATAAAATATCTCGCTGATAAAAATCATAGATGTAATAATTATATAGAGACTTACCTAATTATTGCTTCTCTCATAAATCACACTAATCTGTAATTTAAATTAGTTTTTGACGTATAAACCGACATTTAAAAGAATATTATAAAAAACTAACATTAATTGCGAACTAGAAAACGTAATACAAAGCTTTGGTGAAAATATCGACTGAAATTTAGGAAGCGTATGTTTATGAGTACGCTTGAGTGTTGCCATTATAATAAATGTTTTCTTCCCAATTATTTGGGGAGAATGTGGATAAGCAGAAATTATTTTACTATTATAATCTATACATATAATACAATTACTGTTTACTGTCTGTTCGTAAAAGATTGTGTTTATATATAAGAAAAACTATAATATTATTAGGTCATATTATTAACGTAAGTAACAGAACCCAATAATTTTTGTCTGTCCGTCTGCGTATTTGTCTGTGCTAATCTCAAAAACAGATACGGGTACGGTTTTTATAATTGTTTTGTGGTAAGCCAGTTTAAAAGTTACACGTGGCTGAGGCGGGCTGAGAGAGTTAATATTATGTATTACTATTATTAATTTATTAAAATATAGCAAAATAAATTGTCCTTGAATATTTATAATAGGTACTCTATTTTATACGGAGAGCTGAAAAGCAGCAAAGTACCTGAAAATGAAATGATATTTATTCAGTAGATGTTAAAAAAACTAAAACATACATTAAACAAATAAAAAAAAACTCAATCATTGCAACAATTACAAAAAATAAAAAGAAAACAGAAATGTATACGATCATAAATAAAATTCCAATAATATATATATGTATATATGTATGTCATGTTGAAGCGCTAGTTGTTTGTAAAACATGCGACCTATTTCATATTTAACTTTATGTAAAAACCACAGACAAGTAGCAAACCTAAAATCATAGAAAAACTGACACTTTATATTTGATTTATTATTTAGTAAATAATAAATCTATACGTCAACTGAAGTCAATAATTAAACATTCTATATAATGGAAAGAAATAAAACTTACAAAATCTAAATTCAAATAAACAAACAAAATAGAAAATAATGGTTTCATAAAAAAAAAAATCAAACCCATGTCTAATAAAAAGAAAGACGTTGCGAGGCATGAAAAACCCAATCGTACTTGCTTAGAAAGTCTATCAATTACAGAAAGTTTTACAAACTCGAATATTCTTTGCAGACACCAAACTGAGTCTCAAAATTGTTGCTCTTGCAACGAAATGTGCATAAGATACCACAAATACGTTAATTGCGCTGAGAAGGGACGTTGTCTAGTTGATTTACAAAGACCAGAAGACGCTCGAGACAAAAGTCCAACATTGGATCAAAATCCCGAGAAAAGTCCGGGAAGAGTAACAAAAGGAAATGATGCTGCTCAAAAAAATGATATCAATAGTACACCTGATGAAGGAGTTTGTCCAGTACTTCACTCCTCCTGTAATATTAAAACGACATCTAAAGACAGGTCAAGATTTGTAGAAACAGATAAAAGAGATGCATCTACTTCTACGCCAGATAATGAAATTATTCCATGTACAAACCCATCTTCGAATCAGGCATACCAAAGTTGTAAGTCATTCTGTATACCAACGCCAATTCAGGTTCCTAGCGTCAATATAAATTTGCCGATCAGCTTAATACCGCTACAAGGTCCTAGTTTTCCATCTAATATATCAGGAGGTCAGGAATTCAGGACAGCACAGGACGCCACAACCAATTCTAGTCCAGATGCACCATGCCCAGCTTGTTCGCGTACAAGAGAATTAAAAGCTACTGAAAACTTTTTAAAACAAGTTACCAATAAAAATGAAAGCTCTGCACTAAAACCTGCTAAAGCTACAGTTGCAGACGGTAATAAAGATGTAGCAACTCCCGAAAATGACACTGAAAAAACATATTCACTAAAACATAGTGCAGATGAGAAATATAAAGAATATACTAAAGATTTATTAACCCCTGAAAATGAAGAGACGTATTCACCAAAACATGGTCCAAAGGAGAAAGAAATAGAAAACAATGCTGGACTGAAGCTACATTCAAAACCATCAGATGTTAATACAGGAGTTGGATCAAGAGCCAGCGAAATTAGACTAAGCTTTGATATAAATGAGCAAGTTTGTTGTAGGAAAGGTTCCTTGTGTAGATCTTGTACAGCATTACTCCATCAGAAACCAAATCGGACTTGTATATGTCGATTTCCCCCTGCATTTAATCAATTTGGATGCACTGGAAATATTACTGGCAATTGTAATTGTAAAAATGATTAAAATTTTATACAAGAAACAAGCTTATCCGTATAGATCTATCTTTTTATTATGTAACTGGAAGTGTAAGTAATAGCCAACAACTAAATACTCGTACATTAGCACAGATTAAATTAATAATATTATACCTGAATTCACATAGCACCATCTTGTCCCAAGCTAAGCAGAGTTTATTATGAGTAGACAACTAATAAAAATATTTACATTTTCTTTTGTAAATACTTAAAATAACCGATAGTATATACCTCAACGATTGGATATTACCTTAGTAAAGGCCTACTAACTAAACGATTACTTGAATAACGAGCGTGCATGCCAATTGTTCATGCACAGGATTTTCATTTAATGTTAGACAGAGATATATAAATAATAATCATTGTAAATAAACTGGCATTAAAAAAAAAAATAAGAAATTTAATTGAGTTTCTTGCTAGTTTTCAATTGAATCTGACGGTTTAATTGGACGGTATGGAAAACATTATGGTATAAAAAATTTGACGTTCATAAGCGGCTAAGGCGTCCTATATATATTAATGATTTTTTAATTCAAATTTTATTAAGAACTGCTCATGAAAAGGCAACAAACAAACAGATACACGCCGTTCCGATAATGTACCTTACAAACTGTGAAAGAATTTCTCACTTTCTTCATAACAAAATACACTTTTTTTCTACTATAACTGGCGGTCTTGCTAAACTTCTGCATCACATTTTCCCAGTTTTTGCAACATTTTTCATTGCAGCTCCACTCCTATTGGTTGTAGCGTGATATTATATAGTATATGACACTGGCAAGGAACGTGGCTTACTATTGGTAATAGAATTTTCTAAATCAGTTAAATAGATGCAGAGATTGGTGCATCTACTTAACTGCCCTTATGGGGGGTAATACGATTGACGACATCGGTCTAGCACACCGCTTTAAATGCGATGGTCGCGGGTTCGATTCCTCGCACGGCACAAACATTTGTATTCATGAGTATGATTGTTTGTGAGAACGATCTGGGTGTTTTCTATGTGTAACATGTATGTATTTACGAAATTAATTTATTTATGTATTTGTATCAGTTATCTAGTACCCATAACACAAGCTTAACTTGGGTCTAGATGGCACTGTGTGAATTGTCCTGAGATTATTATTATTATTATTATATCTCACAAACATTACCTTTTTATAATGGATTTATGGACACTACTGAAAAACAAAATTCGTGAATTCGTATATTTAGAAGGAAAACTAAGTAATTTACATTATTAAAGGTACGCTCATAACGCCTACTCAACTTAATAGGCAAATACAATCTTGTACAATTCATACATTGTACAGAAATACATTGCTCGCAAAAACCAATAGGCGCTATGACGAATCCCATACGTAGCCGAAAGTATACTGTATTGTGGTCGAAATTCGACCACTAATTTTGTAAAACATTTATAAGTTATCTTGTCTTCTTTAAAAAATTTTTACGTGTAATGCGGTTGGATATTGAATCGACATTATTTTTAGTTGGTGTCCCTTGTGCTCGAACTTGGGTATATAAATCTGTGAATTGAAATTAATTTTTTTAGTTGTAATTTATCTATACAAATGAAATGTCTGTTTGTAATTTCAAATTTATAGAAATAGATTTATTCAAGAGGAAGATTTATATGTATACCGAACTGAGCCCACCGGGGGCGTAAACATTACGCTTTCATGACTATTTCCTACCTTTTTGACTTCTCTTTGACGGCGACTGCCTTCGTGGAACAGATATGCTCGGTTTTGCTATAAAAGTGAAAATATATTATTATGATATATATTAATAAACTTACAGTTACTCATTGTATTCTCCCTGTAATGACTTATAAATAAATAAATATCCTTCGACAATTAACACAGCGCTATCTAGTCCCACGGTAAGCAGAGCTCGTGTTATGAGTACTAGATATTATGTTATCTGTGGTACTAAACAACTGATATAAATACATAGATTTTTTAAAATACATATTATACATAGAAAACATCCTGACCGATACAAGCAATCATACTCATGAATACAAATGTTTGCACCGTGCGAGGAATCACCGAGGCCGTTATACACATTATAGTCCCAGAGCCAGAGCCTCATTTCGTCAATCAATTCCTCTGGGTCGATAACTTCTAAAATGATTAACATTTTTGATTTAGTTGTATAAAAATGAACCTACATAGTGACAGTCGATGGATTGAGCACCGAGGAAGTGTATACACGCAACTTACATCGTAAAAAATATAAAAAAAAATTGTCTGTCTGTTTGTTCTTGCTAATCTCTGAAACGCCTGGACCGATTTGGACGGAACTTTCCCTAACAGTATCTATCGCAGTTACTTCTCTATTCTGTGAACAAGGTCAAGTCGTCACGTGACTTTAATAATAATAATAAACACGTTGCAAATCCCCTCCTCTATAATAGAACTATTACAAAAAGCCGTCATTCTCAACACATGCCGTATTGTAAGAACATTTCTTTCTTCATTATATAACTTATCTACGCTTGGCTAAGGCCCGCGTGTTTGAATGTATTACCCCCGTAAAAAGGGAGATATACCTATATAGATATATAATAATAGGAAATTATTAATAATAAAACTGTATTATTTCGAGATTGTAAAAAGGGAAAAACGAAAAATATATAGATTACTGGCTGTCCCTGCAAACGTTGTTTTGCCTTAAAATAAAAATAAAATTTAGGGGTTGGACTACCCCTAACATTTAGGGGGATGAAAAATAGACGTTGGCCGATTCTCAGACCTACTCAATATGCTCACAAAATTTCATGAGAATCGGTCAAGCCGTTTCAGAGGAGTATGGGAACGAAAACTGTGACACGAGAATTTTATATATAAGATTATAACCCAGCACACTTCACACAACGCTATCTAGTCCAAAACTAAGCAGAGCTCGTGTTATGGTTACTAAACAACTGACTAGAAACACTTACATAACTTTTTTCGTAAATACATACATAATATGTATAGAAAACACCCAGATCGACACAATCATACTTATACATACTTGCGTGCGAGGAATCAAACCCGCGATCATAGCAAGCAAATGTGCTACACTGCTAAACAACCGCCGTTAAACACCAGTAACCAACAATAAAAAAAGCTTCATTGCTACAACTTACCACAAATCTTTACCAGTTGCTCCCTGAGAGGTTTTATAAGCAAATTGACAGGCCTCGTCTTACATTCTATGGTGAATCCATACTTTAACATATCAACAGACGCTGTCCGTCTGTAGCAAACCTTTTGTATAATATCTTTAGTTTTATCAGACATGGCGGAATTTTGCTCCGGCAAACGATTCTTGCGTTTAAGTTTATTCATTTTTAATTATTGTAACATAATATTGGGTGCATTGTTATTATTCGCTCTGTTTGTATATGATTATCATTTAATGAGTCATGTTTAAAGAAATGACATGCGAAATTTTTATTTTTTATTTTTATGGCACTTATAAATGTAATTTTGCCAGCAAGTCTTTTGAATGTTAAGAAAAACTATTCGAAAAAAAAATATATTTACATATCAGAAATTTTGTTGGTATCTATTTTTTTAATTTACAATTGTAATTGTGCCAGTATCTTAAATTTTTTACAATGATCCTGGCAGAGACAACCCCTTCGCACTCCTTAGGGGATGCCGGTTTGTCATTTAGGCAGGCAATATTTTTTTTATATTAAGTATAAGGAGATAGCCTGCATCTGTCACCTTCTTAGCAGCGATAACTCAGATTGTGTCCTCCCCAAATGGTCCTTGCAATTTCGCCCACTTTTACCTCCAATCCCAAATATTAACTTAGATTTTATAACAGGATTGCAGAAAAAATACATATTGATAATTTTTAAATATTTATTTGTACATATTATTTCTTCAAATATATGGAAGTAAAGTTTCTTAAAATATTGAACTTTACATGTCAACTGCTAAACATTCAAATTTACAAACATTGATAATAATTTTATAATTTGTATCCAAATCTATTATATTATATGGTTCATAAATCTTTAATATCATATTTTCAGATATACTAAGATCATTAACATAATTATTATTTATTAACACTAAAAAACTGTTATTTTCAACATTTCTAACATCCAACAAATAACATCCATATTTAAATTGCACATTCCAAATTTGAAATACAATATGTTCTCCTTTTGGTATAACAAAGTTGGAATTTGTGGCCAGGAATCTTTCATGGTGCCATAGAGAAATGTTTGCATTATGTTTTTTTAATAATCCATTTAAACGGTAGGCCAAACCATCCTTTTTATATTTGATCTTTTTTGAAGTTTTGTTGTCGGGCATACAGTTTTCTTCCTTTGCAGTTTCTGAACTGTTCTTAGTCACATTAACCTGTGTTATAGAGCTTACAATTTCAATGTCTTCACTACTTTTAGAACTGTTTTTCGGTGTTAATGCATCACTGATGGAATGCTGTGATGCATTTTCTGAACTAAAATATCCATCAAAGTAAGTTTTAACTTTTTTCACCAAATTCAAGTCTAGATTCTCAGCTTTTAGCATTTCAATACTGTTATCAAGACTGCCAGAGACAATAGATTTTTTTTCTACAACACTTTCTTCTATATTGGTTTTATTAGGTAACTTTTCACTATGTATAGTCTTCACATTTTTTTTATTCAAGTTGTCCTGATCATTATATTTATGTTCATCTTCTTGTTCATTATAACACACTACAGATTGATCTTCTTCACTACTAACTTGATTTCTTTTACTATATTTATTTATATTTTTTCTGTAATTTTCCTCGGAAACCTTGTGATTAATATTCTTAAAACTTAGACCTTTATGTACATTACAAGTTATATTTTCAGTACTAATAATATTTAGAGCTTTATTCGTAATATAATTTGATTTATCAACAGATTTACTTATGTTTTCATTATTATTAAACAATTTCTTCCTTATTTTTGGTGAATATTTAGGTGATGCACATTTTAACATTAAAATAGGACTTTTTGGTGTATATTTCAAATTATTTCGACTGATTATCGGTGAAGTAGTGTATTTAAATGACTTATGACAATTCTTAGACGTTAGAATCGGTGATGTTGCTATATTTTCATTACAATTGCCGTATTCTATTTCTGAATCGAACAATTTATTTTCTGTATTTAAAACATCCGCAGAGTCAGTTTGACCTTCTGTATATTTAATGTCTAAGTTAGATATGTTTTTAGATACTGTTTTCTTACGTTTTCTTTTCACAGCTTTGTGTGACGAGTTCAATATTCTCTCTTCTCTTACATTCTCATATTCACTAGAATCACTCGACCAACTGATTTCTTCCGAGTTTGATTGTGAGCACAGTAAACGGAATTTTTCGTTGAACGAGGTGTCCTTCTGTTTTTGCATGATTAATGAGATGTAAGAATAAAATAACTATAATTACTTAATTTGATTTTGTTAATAAAAAAAACATCGTGAGCCAAAACAAATACGAATACATGTGAACTTGTGAGCAAAGAATATACTACTCAAGAGAAGAATGACGTCTCCGTATTAAAAAATTGCAACCACGACCTTACGCACTTATACTACTAGCGCCGTACCGGATTAGCACTGAATACTTTTTGAAGAAAAGCGAAATAGCGGGATATTTGAAAATTATCGTGGCGGGATATTTAAAAATTATTGTAAATAATTGGCCCCCTTGGCGGGAAATTCAAAGTTTATTTTTAAATCCCGCCATTATTGACTGCCGACTCAAAGACGGATCCGGTGGTCTGCGATGGTTGATAAACGTGGTAAGCGCGGAATGTAAAATATTATAGCTCGGTGAAATATATTTATCAACATTCTGCCGTCACTACGTTTACCATCCATCAGAGTCCTCCCGCCGGTGGGGTTAGATTTGTAGCAAACCACAATTAAAATTAGCAAAAATTAAAAAAAAAGAGTAAATACATGAGAAATGACACATTTATTTAGATAAATATTAATAGTTCATTAAAATGATTATGCATGCTAAAAGCTTTCAATTCTATATCATTCTATTTTATACAGTAAAATAACACTGGAATAAATTTTAGTACTTTTTGAAGTAACAGACAAAATGAATGAAATGAATTTGAATTTGAAAGAATAATATGTTCTACAACAGGCCGTTACAGGACATATCATTTTTAATTTTGACGTTTATAACAAAATGCAATCTTTCATTTTTTTATGATACTTTAAAGTTGCATATAAACAAATTAAAAATATTTATTTAATTTAATTTGAATGTAGCAAGATGTAGTTATTTTAATTTTTGCCAGTGCCTCAATCAGTTAACTTAGCATGCAAATTTATTATATATAGTTTTAATGTTGTGTAAAACAGAATTTTTTAATGTTAGTGTCAATAGAATAGAAAATCCTTTATTCAAATAAACTTACATTGAAGTACTTTTAAATAGATACCACATTTTTTTTTCAATCTACCGCTCATTCGGTAAGCTGTCTCAACACAAGAAGAATGAACAAGGAAATTGCGTGTTGCTCTTTTAAATAATTTTGTTGTAACATTACATTTTTAAGTTGATGTGTGAATACAAACAACCAAATAGCACTAATTCAATACTCAAATAGAGAAAATGTTAAATATACAACCAACTGGTTTAGAACTAAATAAGCCTAAATCAGTCGTAGTGATTAGGGCAGACCAACTACAAGAAGCATTCGCTCATGAGTATAATGGACGGACGAACATTGGTTTAACATTTATTTTTTGCTAGTTACCAACTTATTATAAAATAAATTATAATATTATGTCTAATATAAATAATTTATCTGATCAATTTTACAGTTAATCTCTAATGAGTAGAAACATTTAGCAGTGAGATATTTAAGTAATTTTTAAAAACAGACCTCAGTGATTTATTATTCAATTTATTATAAATATTTATACAGTATAAATAACTGTTACTGTCATAAGCTATATTCATATCTTTTGTAACACAAGATGGTTAATAAGAAATTATAAAATTATTTTTATATTTACAAAAAAGGAAAGCGAGGAATGTGGTGTGCACAATGATTATATAATGGGTACATATGGTTGAACACATTCCGCCATATGTGAAGACACGCATATTTTATATTAATAATTATATTAATTATACTTCTGTAAATAGTTACATAATTCCAGATAGCACATTACAGTATACAGTTAAAAAGTAAAAGTTATTATGATAAAAGTTAAAAATGATTATATATTATTGTTTATATATCAATATTATTCTTATTTTAATGTCATTATGCTAATATATCAAATTCGTAATTCATTTTACCATTCATACCTTCAAACTCTTTTTTTATTGTATAATATTTCAAAATATTTCAAGACATTTCACGAATCAAGGCATTTTGTTCTTTGAAATGTTCTTTATAAATGAGTGAGACCTCATTTCATTTACATCTTTAAAAATTAAAACGAATGAGTTCACTTACTTAAAACATTAAATACAATTCTCATTTATTTTGTAAAATCTTCATCTTTCTTTCTAACGCTCTCTTTTTCTCATCTTCATCCATTTCTCTATTTTTAATTATAATGTACCTTTTAACACATATATAAAATATACTGTTTTGAATGTGCCGTTTATTACTTTCAAAATGATTTACACAAGTATTTAAAAAACTAAAATCAACAGAACCCAAAGATGTCATTATATTTGTTCGTATTTGTGGAGTGTGTGCATTGTTTTTCAAATAATTATTAATTACTATGGCACACTTTTCTACACATACTACCACATTTTTATTTATATAATTTAATGACGTGTTTGAAGTTTCATATTCCTTAAAGCTGGTAAATATGTGAATTGCTTCAATATTTTTTGTCACATAAATATTTAGGCAATCTTTACATTCATTGTGCCTCAGTTTCTTAAATATAAAGCCGCATATATATGCACAAGCTTGACCTTCAGGGGTAGCTTGGTCCATTGCTTCCACTGTATTAGCTAATAATGTTTCTACATTATCAGCTGATACAGTATGTTCAGTATATGTTTGTTGCTCCTGTTCCAAGTTCGATGTTAAAAATGGGAGCAAATTATTTGCTAAAGTAGCACTGTCATCTTCGCAATTTGTATTTTGTCCAGAGTGCCGTAAATTTGTAATTATAGCCGTTTTAATACCTGTCACAAATTGGGAAATTGTCGGATTCGTATTTGACCCACAATGATATCGGATGCATCCAAAACAATTTTCTAAAGGGTCTTGATTCAGGCGACGCGTGGACAAGCTCTTGACTTTTTGGACCTGCAAATTATTCCACAACCTTTCTATGGCATTTAAAGTCTGTATCCATCCGTCTTGAGAAGGAGGAGTTGTCCTGCTACTTAGATATTTCATTGATGATATAAATTTTCGCATATCTTTATAAAGGGCTAAGTGAGGACTCCGCATTGTTAAGTTGCAAGAATATTTTTTTCCTCTACGCAGGTCAGGACTGTCCGCATTAATTGAATCAAATAAATCATCCATTTTTTTAACAAATGTTGCAGTCGCATGGGCTTCGTTTGGAAGTTCATCTGCAAAAAAATACTTTTAAAAGTGATACTGATTTCACAGTAATTTTTTTATAACAATAAAACTTATCGTTTTACTGTGAAATCAGAGGTTGAAGTAAGGTTGAAGACAGACTGGCGTACAAAGTGATTAAAATGGTATAAAAACTTTTATGTAAATAGGTACTTATGTACTTCGTCTGTCTCGAAAAACCAACCATTTATTTTTATTTTATTGTGTTGTAACCACTAATTTGCAGTTTTCAGGTATTATTTTTACTCATCAGACAATTGATTAGTGTTATTTTACAGTATAATTTATAATGGCCACAGTCTTTAAATATAATTGATGAGGGTGCTAAAACATAGTGCATACGTGAAACTCTCTCGGAAATTAAATTGTATTGTAAATTAAACTTTATTTTCCACAATCATCCTCATATCTGGGCCGTTGTACGTGTACTCTCAGATACTATTAAACTACATTTAAAAATTCATTTTATAGCACAATCGTTTTATGTTCATTTGTCACTCAAATTATAAAAGATAATAATTAAAAATAACCAAATTCACTTACTAGACGCAATTTTTGCTAATATACCGGCAGCAACAGAGTGACTAAAAACTTGTGCTGCAAGTTTCACTCTCATCTGTTGTTTTATATTAGGATGTATATGATGGTCAGTCAATACAGGAGCATAAACAAAATTTGCGTTATTTTTGTCTTGATTATAAAATTGTTCAATGTGACTCCATTTGACTATGCCTAAAAACAAAAAGAAAATTAATCAAAGTCTAACACCTAAAATTATTTACTAAATATTTGTCATATTTAAAATTCTATACCTACACTGTTATTTTATACAGGTTACACCTGTATTAAAAAAAACTGATACGTATATATTACTTACCTTTAATACTTGCATCTTGTGACTCTAAATCTGTTATACATTCAATATTATGCTTCATTAAGAGATTGCGAGTGCATTTTAATAAATGAGGTGGATCTAGCACTGTTACTATTTCCCTTTGATCATGTATGAAGTAGGGTTCTGCAGGTGAAGCACCAAGTGTTTTCAACACTTTCAAGTTAACGGTTGATAAGTCGCACACAGTTGCGACTATATTAATATTGAAATTGAAGCATTCCGTAAGTATCTGAAAGAATAAAACCAATAGTTTAGTAGTTGTGTTAGGTTATACATACATGTACGGTTATACTACATAAATAAATAAAAATATTACCTCTTTCAAAATTACTGTCATTCTATCTGCGGTTAATATGTTCGAAAAGTAAAATGCTATGGGCTGTTTACATTTTTTTCGAATTCCCGCAAGCATAAAAACGAGGGCTTTATTGGCAACTGTACCGTTTCTACCATGGTTGCCATGGTCTTGATAGCCTTGTATTATATCATTTTTCCTATCATAAAATAAGTGTTTTCTGATACTCATCTCATCAAACGATAGAATACAGATGTTTTCATGACTTGTTTGTTGTTCACAAACATTCTTTAACGATACAAATATATGTTTGTTTAGGCCTGGTTTTAATGGCACTTTATTCAATAATTTTTTCAAACAACTTTGGCCGGGTAAAGCAAACATACGTCTCAAAAGCCTGTAACAGGCTGGTGATTTTTTGTATATAGCTAACGCCATTATCTTTTGTTCTGTTGTGTAACGTCGTCCTTTTGGTCGTTTTGGACAATTTTTTAATTGACTTTGTAATAAAGTTAAAAAAGAATTTGATATATTTAAATTACAAAATTTTTGCACATTTTCATCTTCTGATATTTTTTTTATTATATTTATTTTCTTGCTTTTCAACTGTTTTCTTAATCTTATAATTTCCTTAAATTTCCTCTTACATATTTTATATAATTTGTTTTCTCTAGATGTTAATTCTGTACTTTTTCTGACTTGAATTTCGCCTAAAATTCCAGGCTTCCTTTGAATATTTGATGTTGATGGTTTGTTTGAAGCATTATCTGAAGTACTTTTGGATGTAGATGTAGTCTGAAATGGTACCATACATTTTTTCTATAATACTCAACATAACTGCTGAACTTGCCTCTGGTGTCTTTAATACATATATAATTTAAATAATAGTTTGGAAGTAAAACAAGGGGAAGTATAAATTATATTTCGGCAGATAAATTCAACACAATTATCAAAATTTATTATGCAACAATATCTGTACTATCAACAAATGAAATAAATAATTAGCCTCAACACTACAATTTCAAAGTCAGAGACATTATCAACAACCAATATTGTGCTGTCCCTGCATCCTATAACCATCAATTGAAATTATTTAATTAATTAATTAATGGATCAGGCATCCATTCAAGTATATATTTAATATCTAAATAAGTTCAGTGTAGCCATGTCACAATGATTATATAATGGGTACATATGGTTGAACACATTCCGCCATATGTGAAGACACGCATATTTTATATTAATAATTATATTAATTATACTTCTGTAAATAGTTACATAATTCCAGATAGCACATTACAGTATACAGTTAAAAAGTAAAAGTTATTATGATAAAAGTTAAAAATGATTATATATTATTGTTTATATATCAATATTATTCTTATTTTAATGTCATTATGCTAATATATCAAATTCGTAATTCATTTTACCATTCATACCTTCAAACTCTTTTTTTATTGTATAATATTTCAAAATATTTCAAGACATTTCACGAATCAAGGCATTTTGTTCTTTGAAATGTTCTTTATAAATGAGTGAGACCTCATTTCATTTACATCTTTAAAAATTAAAACGAATGAGTTCACTTACTTAAAACATTAAATACAATTCTCATTTATTTTGTAAAATCTTCATCTTTCTTTCTAACGCTCTCTTTTTCTCATCTTCATCCATTTCTCTATTTTTAATTATAATGTACCTTTTAACACATATATAAAATATACTGTTTTGAATGTGCCGTTTATTACTTTCAAAATGATTTACACAAGTATTTAAAAAACTAAAATCAACAGAACCCAAAGATGTCATTATATTTGTTCGTATTTGTGGAGTGTGTGCATTGTTTTTCAAATAATTATTAATTACTATGGCACACTTTTCTACACATACTACCACATTTTTATTTATATAATTTAATGACGTGTTTGAAGTTTCATATTCCTTAAAGCTGGTAAATATGTGAATTGCTTCAATATTTTTTGTCACATAAATATTTAGGCAATCTTTACATTCATTGTGCCTCAGTTTCTTAAATATAAAGCCGCATATATATGCACAAGCTTGACCTTCAGGGGTAGCTTGGTCCATTGCTTCCACTGTATTAGCTAATAATGTCTCTGGTGTCTTTAATACATATATAATTTAAATAATAGTTTGGAAGTAAAACAAGGGGAAGTATAAATTATATTTCGGCAGATAAATTCAACACAATTATCAAAATTTATTATGCAACAATATCTGTACTATCAACAAATGAAATAAATAATTAGCCTCAACACTACAATTTCAAAGTCAGAGACATTATCAACAACCAATATTGTGCTGTCCCTGCATCCTATAACCATCAATTGAAATTATTTAATTAATTAATTAATGGATCAGGCATCCATTCAAGTATATATTTAATATCTAAATAAGTTCAGTGTAGCCATGTCAGGTGTTACACTCACTACATTAATAGATAATAAACCACATATAAAAAATATTACTTAAAAATAACGGTAAAAATTATAAATCAATACACATATTTATGATTCCAATATTGTGTTATTATTTTCACTTTATGACAGACCCTCTATACTGATAGTGGTAAAGACATCAGATCCTAATGATTTACTACTGGCAGGTACCTACACCTGTGGAGACATCGAAAGTTTTGCAAGTAAAACTAAGTACCTATTAATAAAATGGACACAGACCAGTTTTTCGTGGATTTCAGTTTTAAAGATATTATTTTCCTATTATTAAATTTATATTGTGGAATTCTTATTGGGATAATACATTGCAAATGACATAAGGCATGCTATGTACAGTAATTTATAATAGGTAAAATCTATTTTTATCAAATCAGATTTGATATAAAAAAATAATGAAATGGATCTATCCATTTAGGAGCTATGAAGCAGATATATTAAACTTTATAATAACTCTTTTTTCGTCAGAGTTAAACAGTAGGCATGTATTATCTGAATAATAAAATACATTCTGTAGATTTGAGAGCCGTATTTGTAGAGTGCCTGCTAAAGATTATGTAGGTAAATCATAGAAAATAATTATATCTACCTTGTTAATACCCAATACCCAATCAAGTTGATATGAATATAGTATTGAATTATTAATTAAAACTAGATTTACCCATTATTAGGCTTTAATAAACTAAAAATTGTACACGACTATTTGACAGATAAAATGTAACTAAAATCTTCTTCTTATATTTAATGGCTTCACGACATTCACCCGTGCCTTAGAAATCTGTTTGATAATCTTGGAACCGATTAGGTGGGCGACGTAGCCTGGTGGAACGACGTGAAGATATATTTGCCTCAGCAGGGGATGGAAGTGCAGGAAATTGATCTGTAAGAGATTGATTAGTAGGAGATTCTTCTGCGGGAGGTTGGTCTGTTAGAAATTGGTCAGCAGTAGATTGATCAGCATTAAATGATTCAGTTTCTGCGTTCGGGTTCTGTTCTCTTACAGGTTCATTTAACAAAGGAGGATTAGCTGGAGCCAAGTACCTATTTGAAATTGTAGTTTCTCGACCATTCTGCAAACGCACTTGAGAATAATGTGGGTTTACATTAAGTACCTCTACTTCTTCTACAAACGGATCGTACTTACTCTTCCTCACAAGATTTTTCATGAACACTGTACTTCCTTCCGTTAGCCATGTTGGCATTGATTGGCCATTGGATGACCTTCGTGGATGAGAAAACATTCTCTCGTGGGGTGTGCACCCAGTACTGGTGCATAATAATGAACGAATGCAATGTAATGTCTGAGTAATAACTGACTCCCAAGCACTTATAGGTAGCTTAAGAGACATAAGTGATAGTTGAATAGTTTTCCAAATAATCCCATTATAACGCTCTGTTTGGCCATTTCCTTGAGGATTATAAGGTGATGAATAACTTGTAGCTACTCCTAAGCTACATAAAAATTCCTTTAATTCTGATGAGACAAAGGATGTTCCTCGATCAGAATGCACAAAGGTGGGTACTCCAAAGATTGCAAATAATTGAGTTAATTTTCTTTTAACGGTTTCAGCTGTTAAATCTGGACATGGAAAGGCAAATGGGAAACGAGAATATTCGTCTACTACAGTTAGAATATACTTATTTTGAGTTCTACTTGGAAGAGGCCCCTTAAAGCCCATTGAAATTCGCTCAAATGGTGTAGTAGCCTTTATTAAAGTCCCAGAAGATTTTATGAATCTAGGTTTAATTTCAGCACATACGGGACATAATGTATTTATGCGTTTGATTTCTTCAACAGAAAAGGGCAAATTTTTAGTTCTTACCCAATGTACCATCCGTGTAATACCCGGGTGACAAAGACTGTTATGTAAATCCATTAATGAATTTCTCGATGTCGAAGCTATGACAGTATTTGCTCGTGACAATGCGTCGGCCACGACATTTTCTCTTCCCGGTCGATATATGATGTCAAAGTTGTAACTACTTAATTCAAGACGCCAACGCTGTATCTTCTCATTTTTGATCTTTGATGTATGTTGCTGGTTAAACATGAATGATATAGAACGTTGATCTGTAATCAGTTTGAATGTTCGTCCTATTAGTAATTGTCTCCATTTTCTCAAACTTTCTACAATTGCCGAGGCCTCCTTTTCAATAGCAGGGTGACCCCTTTCGGTAGCAGAAAGTGTTCTTGAAAAGAAAGCTACTGGCCGACCTTCTTGAGATAACGTAGCTGCAATAGCGTAATCTGAAGCGTCAGTTTCTACAGTCATTTGTATGCCGCTTTCAATAGCAGCTACTGTAGATTTAGCTATCTCTATTTTAAGATCTTCAAATGCTTTTATAGCGTCCTCCGTAAGCGGAAATGTATTATGATTGACAAATGGTTGTATTTTGTATGAGAATTTAGGAATCCATTTAGCATAGTGCGCAAACATACCTAGTGCTCGTCGCAAAGAAACAGAATCAGTAGGAATTGGTAGTTCTAGGAGAGGGCGTAAACGTTCCGGATCAGGTTTAATCACTCCGTTACATATGTTGTATCCCAGAAGATTTATAGTAGTCTTTGAAAATTCACTTTTTGTCACGTTTAATGTAAGATTATATTTTGTAGAAATTTCTTCAAATTTTTTAAGTTTTTCATCGTGATCAGTCTGATTTATCCCACAAATCGTGATATCATCGAGATAAGCATAAACTCCTTCTAATTGCTCTGATTTTATGATATTATTAATTGCACGTTGAAATGCGGCCACTCCATTGGTGACACCAAACGGAATTCGTCGAAACTGATATAAATTTCCTCCTGCTTCGAAGGCAGTATATGATTTTTCGCTTTCCAATATAGGTACTTGATGATACGCGCTTTTAAGGTCTATTTTACTGAATATTTTATGTTTAGATACCTTAGCTATAACATCTTCAATAGAAGGGAGTGGATATGCATCTAATAAAGTAAATCTATTTATTGTTTGTGAATAATCTATAACCATACGTTTTTTATGGTGTTCACTACTAGTAACAAGGACTTGTGCTCGCCATGGAGACTGACTAGGTTCAATTATTTTATCTTTTAATAACTTTTGTATCTCTTCATCTATAAATTTTTGATCCATCTCTGACTGTTTCCTAGATCGAATCGCAATAGGTTTCTCGAAAGGTAGTAAATTACTGAATAAGCTAACAGGTTTTATTTTGGCTTCTATAAGAGTACATAATTGAAGCGAGGCTTTAAAACCACCAAATTGCATTTCTAATGATTTATGTTCACTTAACATATCATGACCGAGAATAACATCAGAACATAATCCTTCCATCACCATAAGATTGACTTCCACCTTTTGTTTTTGTATTTCTATAGTTAATGCACATCTGCTTTTTACATGTGATATAAGGTTTGACTTGGCCATTGTTATCTTTTGGTGATATGGTGTTTCAATTAAATCATAGTGGTTAACCAGTCGTTTGTCAATAAAACTAGCTGTACTGCCTGTATCTATTAGTGCTCTAGCCATAATTTTGTTATTGATAATAATAGGAACAGTCGCTTTACTTAAATCTGCAGCAGATAGTATGCAGGAGAGTGTTTCGATTGACTGATTTTCGTTGGAGGTAGCTGCGTTGCGTTGAGATTTATTTCGACAGACTTTAGCAAAATGACCCCTCTTACCACATGAAAGACACGTTGAACTGGCTGCTGGACAGAATCTTCGTGGATGTCTTTTTTCTCCACAAAAGTAACAAGACTCAAACGTATTTTTATAATTTGGTGTTGCAGCAACGGTGACATCAGTATTCTTATTGTCAGCAGACATAGAATCCTTTAAAACTGGAATATTAGAACAGTTATTTGTATTATTTATTACAGGATTAGTGTCACGTAGATAATTCTGATTATGAATTTCTGCTAACTCCAGTGATTGAGCTTGCTGGAAGGCCGCATCTAGGGTTAAAGTACTATTTTCTAACAGTCTGACGTATTACAGGTGACACCAGTCCGCCTATGAAAGCGTCTCTTATGTATTCACTTTCATTCTGTTCTGCTGTAACTTTATGGAAGTTACATTCTTTCGACAATAGTTTAAGAGCTTGTATATATTGATGAACTGATTCACCGGATTGCTGATATCGCTTCATAAGACGATGTCTTGAATAGATTTCGTTTACAGGTTTTGTAAATAATTGATTTAATTTAAGAATCGCTGTAGTGTAGTTGTTACATTCTTTGATATGTGTATAAAGAATCGGCGATAAGTAATTGACGAGTACTTGGTATTGCTGCTCTGGAGTAATAGGATTATCCTTAGTATTTATAGCACTAATAAAATTCTCAAAAGTTTGTTTCCAATGTATCCATAGCGGAGATTGATCAATATTTGCTGACGGATCTGCATCGAATCTTTCGGGTCTTAGATACTTATCCATTATAGATTATAAGTAATTTTTAGTTTATTAAATTGATATGAATATAGTATTGAATTATTAATTAAAACTAGATTTACCCATTATTAGGCTTTAATAAACTAAAAATTGTACACGACTATTTGACAGATAAAATGTAACTAAAATCTTCTTCTTATATTTAATGGCTTCACGACACAAGTTTATATTACAGATACATATCAATTAGCATACTTTATTACTAAGCACCCATTAGTAATCTAAACTGATTCAGATATAGCTGTTAAATAAAATAGCCCAAACAATAATATAGTTCATGTTAGAAAGGAACTATTTTCTTGTATGGAATGCTGTATATGTATGTAAGGTTATCTTATCTGTGATACTACTATTGTATTTTGTATTAATATTTACCTGTTTATGGTATGTAGATTTAGAAGTACTTGGAACATTCACAAAACTTTGCTGCATTGAGGTTGATTCATTTATAGAAGGTGTATGTAAAGTATTTTCAATTACTGACAGAGGGACGGCAGACCTTGGATTATCTGTTGTAGTAGCAGCAGGTTGACTCATATTCTGAAAATTATAGAATATTTCCATCAAAAACAAATTTTACTCAGAATTGGTTGTGGATTGATTGTTAGAAGCGGGTTCGATTACTCACATGTTCCAAACATTTGTACTCATGAATATGGTTGTTTGTATCGGTCTGTGTGTTTTCTATGTACACCATGTATGTATTTACATTTAAAAAAATATAAGTATTTATATCAGTTGTTTAGTACCCATAACACAAGCTCTGCTTACCGTGGGACTAGATGGTGCTTTGTTAATTGTCCAGGATAATTTATTTATTTACATTATATTTTAGGAGACTCATCAGAGTAGATAAACATAATAAACTATTTATTTTTTCATTAACACTTAAAAAATTACATAGAATGAACAACAAGTATAGTATTGTATATGCTTGTTGTGTTGTTTACTCTTTCATATGAACTTAACATTAGTAGCATCCTCAAGAAAGTGACCACTTCCAATATGAAAAGAATGTTATTGTACCTGATTTTCTATATCAGTAATATCAGGAACAGCAAATTTGTTAAGTTTTTGCCGTTGATTGTCATAAAATTGAGACGAATGAAAGTGTCTTCCGCACAAAACTTTGTTTTTATTATAGAGAGTCTTTAAGAACTCCAAAGAGCCCCAGTCTTCATTTGGCCAGCAATATTTAGCCCAAGCACGAGCTCTGCAAATAGAACAAATATTTATTATAATTATGTGTATACCGCTATTACAAAGCAAGCAGTATTAGGTATAAGAATACTATAATGTAAGTGCACCAGATTAATGTATGTATGTGCCTATTGTAAATATATAGGCACATAATGTTGCTATGCATATATTTAATTTTTTTTTATATTTGCACTGCCAACAATTGTCTCTCCATATCTGTGGTTGACTGGTAGAAAACACAGCATAGTATTAAGTTCACCAAATATACTTTTATCTTCTGTACTGTGTGCATTAAAGTTATTACATATCAAACTATGGTGTTAAATAGGCATGCAATTTGATAATAATACACCTAAGTCATGGAGGAGCAAGTCATGTTATCATAGATAATCTGTACAACTGATCAACTTATCCACTCTGTTCTATTTATGGAGAATTAATAATTTACAGGTATTCTATGTATCATGTTGCCATAGACCTGAGTGGTAATAAAACATATTTTGTAACTCACTTTGTAATATTTGCAGCTCCAGGATTTGGAAACCTATGGTAGGTCACAGTTACGTCTTCAGCGCGTGTTCTATGACACTTTGCACACTTTCTATAATTATTCCTGTTACTCATTGTTTAAAAATAAACATAGTATATATCAAAGTAAATCAAATAATCTAAATTATCCTAAAAAAAGTTTTATAGTAATAGTTGAAACGTCTTGTCGTAGAACACTAAAACTAAAAACGTCCTTTCACTATTATATTAAAACACTCAAATTCTAAGAAATTGTGGTAGAGATATCAGTTATTAAATGTGGAGAAAATAAATACCACTCAATAGCAGTAATGGCGGTTAAATGCAGACCGGAACCGGAAATCAGAAATAAATAAAACTTTTTGTTATCATAAAGATGTTTCTTTTTTATTGAGTTGTTTTACGGCCCTGGAAACTTATAAAGAATTATTACGTATTATTGAAATTGCACACGATTTTTTTTCCTAAAAGTATATATATTAATATTATCGTAAATTTTAATTTTACAAGGGTTGCCAATAAAAAATATAATGTCTAAGTAGTATTAGAAAATATTTTATAACTCACTTTGTAGGATTCGGAAATCTATGGTATTTATAATATTTATTTCTGATAGTAATAATATCATAATACTAATAATATCAACTAAACTGCCCTTAAATTTGAAATCTTCTACATTAGTTATAATTACTCGTTGCTACAGCATGTTACTACGTAATATTTGGTTATCTATGGTACTATACTAAAAAAGAAATTTAATGAGTTTTTTGGCTAAAGGATAGTACACAAATATAGTAAATAAATACAAATCAATATAACAAAGGATGGAGGTTAAATGCCGACCGGAAATCAGATTTTTGTTTGTCATAAAGAACTGTTACTGTACCAATGTTACCATATTATGTATTGTTGTAATTACAGACTATTTTTATTTTCTAGAAGGGTATACATTAGCACACGCACACATGCTAATCTTTACATGTGTGCACAGTCAAAAGTTGGTCTATTAAGAGGACCGACCCTGCTTGTGAGAGTCAAATCAAAAGAACTCAAAAGTCAACTAAGACATTTATGGTAATGACTTTGACAGTAAGAAATTTATAAATTGTTTTTAGTGAAACGGAAACCCATTCTATTTCGCTAGTAATGTAAAAAAAAACGTCGGTGTTCTTGTAATAAAATTAATCAATTAAATTAGAATGTTTAGTTATAAAATTACTTCGATTAGTATGTTACTCATAGTGAAACTTTTCTTTAATATAATCGAGTTTTCATAGTAACTTTATCATCTAACTGTTGGCACCACTGAAAACCGATTGTATAGTAGTTGGTACGTGTTTAACTTGTTTCTTCATCCGCCATGTTATTTTGCTAACTTCGTGTCGGTGCGCTCTCAAAACAAATACGTGCGTCGTGCGGTCCATTGTTTATCAACCACATTTTGATTGATATTATTGACATATATCTTGTGAGAATCTAAATAGATTCTCATTTGAGCGTCTATTGCTGTTTTTAAGTGATTAGAGTCTTGTTTACATTGTTGTAACCGAGCCGGGCCCTCATTCGCCGCTATGGAAGTCGAACGTGTCGACTCAGAAAACGTGGCGGTGGACGAGGTCGCGAAGCCGGCAGGTAACGTAGGTGCCGGGGATGCAGCGACATCTCATAATGAACGTTTACGCCGTAAAAACAAGAAATATACGCGTACCAACAGTAAGGAGGCAGCTGGCGTTAGTGCGGTGACGCCTCTACCAAAATATCGGAGTTGGAAAAATAGCCGGAGACCACGCAATGGCCATGGAAGGGGGCTACCGAAAAAAGGTTGGTTCTTTCAATACATGTCTATTTTAGTTCTGGCTTGCTTTCTAATCTTCTTACAGAGGATTCTAGAAGCCATACAGAATGAATACAGCAACGGACGTGTGTTTAATTTACGTAACTTTTGTTTACTACGCACCGGGCGTCGTATTAATGTTACCTACATATTGTTATGGTATGTTTTCGATTACCTCACTTCAAGGTCACATCGACATGCGCAGTAAAAAAATGCCTACTTGGGATCTATAGTTTTCGGATATGGGTTTATATTTAGAGCTTGCTGTTGTATTCTCTTAATACAGGTCAACATTTTCTAGTTGAATGACATAAGTTACGTAATAACAACTTTCGACATCTATCCAAGGCTATTTTGGTCGCAAGCTTGTCTAATGAAATGTTTGTAAACAGTTATAATGTAAATAATAGACTGATATGACCTACATGTTACGAAACTGGGTTCGGCCGTATACTTATTAGAATTTCGACTGACTACTTAGAAAAAAAAATACAATATGAATCTCGTATTGTATGGTATAGATAGAAGCTTTATGTAATACCTGCAGACCTACAGATTTCCTTGACCTAGAAAAATCTATACCTACCTAATCTGTGGAATAAATAATTCAATTTCCCACTTAAAATACATTATTCATAGCATGTATTTTCACATGCATTATATTCGCGATATTTAGAATGTTAATTTTGGTAATAAATGTTAATTATGTTTTAGTCAATTTGCGCGGGCTTATACATATTATGCTTCTGTTGCTTTCCGCCATTTTGGCAGGTCAAGGTCATGTTTGTTATTGTACGTATAGAGCATTCAAATTATGTAATAGAAAACAAATATTTGACTCTGGAAATAAATATTGAATGTGAATGTGTAGGAATGATTAAATATGTTCTATTTGAATTGTTTTAACTAAATATTGAGTTGGGTAGCGTTTATATGTTGATTATCGTATTTTAATCCTTGTTAATGTATATTTATTTAAAAGAGTAACACAAGTTTTATGGTTTCATTTTTCTTGGGATGAGTCAGTGTTCCTAATGAGTGGTAGAATAAAAAAATATTACTATTCAAAAATACTTATATGAATAAAGATTATTTCTATTTCTTAATGCTTTATAATTTGCATAATTTTATAATGCATTATAAATCTTCTTGTGATGAGGTTGTTTTCACAATGAGTGATAGAATAAAAGAATACGAGTATTCAAAAATGCTTATATGGAGTTTATTTTAATAGACATTATTTCTGTTTCTTAAATATATTTTTATATTATCAACTAGCTTTTGCCCGCGGCCTCGCTAACTTATCCCCTTAGGGGTGGAATTTATCAAAATCCTTTCTCAGCCCGATCCATCCAGTGGTTTGGGCTGTGTGTTGATAGATCACTATGTCAGTCACTTGAGTTATATATATTTAGATGGTGTCAATATTGTATCCTGACATGGCAAAAAAATTCCATGGTGAGAAAGGCAAACCCTAATAAGATTTAAATATCTTTAATAAATAACAAAAAACATAGTACAGTACTTTAAAATTACATTTTAAATATTTCATCCCTGTGAAATTTATAGCCTATATGTTATTCTGATGTATAAGCTATATTACTGTAAAGTTTCATGAAAATCCATTCAGTAATTTCTGCATGAAAGAGTAACAAACATCTATACTCACAAACTTTCACATTTTCTAATATTATTAAGATTGTTCATATAAGTTGGTAATGTGGATTGATGATCCCATTGCTAGCAATATACCATGTCAGGGTGACCTCCATTCTGTCCCCCCGGAAACATAAAATCATGGTGAATTTGCCATGATGTATTAACTGACCTGGCTTTATGCTTATCATACTAAGGATCCCATTGCTAGAAATATAGAGTCAGTTTGATCTTCATGCAGTTCCCTCTGGAAATCATTGTTATATATTTCCAGTAGATTTACCATGATAAGCTACATGATCTGATGTTATTATCCTCTACTGGTGCCCCACCATTACAATTTTACTAATGTCTACCAATATGTGCTGTTTTCTTTAATAATATTTTTCTCCAATAGATACGTAGATATGTGTAACTATTTATATATACATAACTAACTGTACATTGATATTTTAACTTGAGGTATATGATAAAGGTGTTATCAGTACTTAATAGATAGTGCCTTCTGAATCTCGTGTTATCTAATGTAGGTAATCTATGAGTTTACCACCAAGGGGTTAGAATCAAAATAAACATTTAAATACAGCATATTTGCTTAATATTCAACAAAATTGACATTCCTTCAGGTCATATATTTATTTAAATCAGACTATATGAATCATATTATAAATACCTTAGAGACTAAAATACAATAAAAAAAAGATAGAAATACAAATCGTCTCTTTGGTCACGGTACTGACGAGGATAATCTGCCCTGCTGCCAGAAGTCCTTCATGAAGATGGGCAGCATGTTGGTGGGACCCGGGCCACAAATATTGTGACTCGACTCTTAGATTACTTTTGGTCCGGATATAGTCGGCAATGTCCTGTGTAATGTTATTTATGTAATGTGTATGCGTATATTGTCAAAATTAGAGTTGTGTCAATTTTAAAAGAAAGAAAAACACACATTGAAGACTCTATGTGAGAAATAACAAAATAAAAAACCGTCATTTTTTATTATTGTTAACTAGCTGTAATCTTAAGGTTGCGGCTGAGCTGTAGGCTACCAGTTGCGGCTGAGCTGTAGGCTACCAGTTGCGGCTGAGCTGTAGGCTACCAGTTGCGGCTGAGCTGTAGGCTACCAGTTGCGGCTGAGCTGTAGGCTACCAGTTGCGGCTGAGCTGTAGGCTACCAGTTGCGGCTGAGCTGTAGGCTACCAGTTGCGGCTGAGCTGTAGGCTACCAGTTGCGGCTGAGCTGTAGGCTACCAACGGGGTCACAGGTGGCGGATAGTGAATGGCCATCAGATATGGTGGTTAGCTGCGAATATGTGGAATAAGCAGTCCCCGACCAAACAGCGGCAGCGTTACCAGGACGTGGTGGGAGGTTCGCGGGGTGAATCTTTCTATAAAATACCACAAAGGTCTAAAGACGGCGTTGTGACATGGCGATTAAAGACCGCCATTAAATAGGTCTTCCCCTAGCGTTGGAAGTGGCGACGGGCAAAGGGCCGAAGAAATAATTTCAGGAAGGGCTTTTGACCAGATATCAACGGGCGAACTCCTTCGGCCGGTGAACCACGGTGTGGAAGGCAAATGGGGAAACCACCACACAAATTTCCCTAATAAATGGAGCACGAATGAAATGGAAAAAGAATATAGTAACGTTCTTGACAACGGGCTTCCACGATGTAATATGCCGTGGCGGTCCGAGTCCGGCAGGGGCAGAAGCAAGGCTGAACCGGTCGTCATCATGCGAAATCCTTGTCAAATAAGTACTTGGAATGTAAGGACGTTATTGAGTCCAGGAAAACTGGAAGAAGTAATAGAGGAAATGAATAGAATAGAGATAGACATACTGGGACTATGTGAGGTTAGATGGGAAGGTAGTGGAGATTACTGGAAGGAGAATAATAGAATAATATATACGGGAGGAGAAAAACAAGGTACAAATGGGACGGCCATAATCTTAAATAAAAAATGGGGCAAATTGGTGGAAAATACTATACATTATAGCGACAGAATAACAGCAGTTAAAATAAAGGCAGATTCGACTAATTTAATAATTATACAAGTTTATATGCCCACTAGTAGCTATCCGGATGAAGAAATCGAAGATATGTATAACCGCATTGATGAAATAATAGATACAGTTAATAAAAATGACAATTTAATAGTAATGGGTGATTTCAACGCAGTTGTCGGGAAAGAAGCTGTTGGAAATATAGTAGGTAAATTTGGTCATGGCGTCAAAAACTACAGAGGGGAAAGGTTAATACAATTTTGTAAGGAAAATGATATGTTTATTGGAAACACCTTTTTTAAACAGCCTAAAAGAAGATTATACACATGGAAGATGCCGGGAGATATTGGAAGATACCAAATAGATTTCATAATAGTTAAAAATTCTAAACGTAACCAAATAATCTCATGCAAAACACCCCCAGGAGCTGATGTTAATACTGATCATAACCTTTTAACGAGTACTCACAATTTTCTAGTCAAGAAAAGTAGAAGAAAAAATAGACCTAAGCAAATTGATCTCACTAAACTTAAGGTAGAAAGCAATAGTAAAGTGCAATATAGTAATAAGTTATTAGATAAAATAGAAATACATAAGGATATATTAAATAGAAAAGATATAAATATTGATGATAGGTGGAATACTATTAAAAATATTATTAAAACAACGGCAGAGGAAAGTATTCAATGTAAAAAAATTAGACCTAGGAAGAAGTGGCTTACTACTGAAATTATTAACCTTATGTTGGATAGAAGAAAAGTCAGAAACAAAAATGATGAGAATAGTATAAAACAATATAAAAGAATTACTAACAAAATTACTCTAAAATGTAGAGAAATAAAAGAAAAATACATAGAACAGACTTGTGATAAAATAGATGAGCATATGAAGAAGGGAAAAATGGGAGTGGCTTATAGTATAATTAGGGAATTAGACAGGACACCTAAACCAAAAAGTACAACAATCTTAGATGAAAAAGGTAGAATATTATTTAACAGTGTAGACATAGTAAATAGATGGAAAAACTATATAGAAAATCTTTACCATGGTCAAGGTTTATCTACAGAGGATATAGAAAATAAAGATACAATAGATAAAGATAAACTTGGACCACCTATATTAAGAGAAGAATTCGACCAGGCTTTAAATTGTATTCAAAATGGTAAAGCAGTTGGTAATGATGGTATTTCTATTGAAATGATTAAGTACATAACCAATAACCTAATAGTAGATAAAATATATGAATTAATTTATGAAATGTATGAAACGGGTAATATTCCAAAAGATTTTTCAGTAAGTAAGACAATAACACTCCCAAAAAAGGTAAA